GTTGGATATTCATCTTTTCATTAATGCAGTTGTGTTTTGTAGTTGTTTTTTTATTTACCCTTTTTACTCTGCACTGCAAGGGAAAAAACAAATTCATAGTGCTCTAACATTATAATAATCTCCTAACAAAAACAAAAAACAAAAAAAAAAGATCCAGGAAGTTACCTCTCAAGAAATAGTTCGGTACATAATCCCTCACTCTAAAACAGCAATTTGTGTTTTTACACTTTGATTTTTGTACAGGTTACAAAAATAAGATAATTAATTAGTTACCTTCATAGGTGCCGGTAGGTGGGTTTTGTTGCCTTTGGATTGAGCTAAGCTAGCTGTTTCCCACTGTTTTCAGTCTCTGTGCTAAACTAAGTTAGCCAGCTGCTGACAGTAGAGCATACAAACACAGGAGTGGCATCAATCGTCTGATCAAAAAGCAGTACATGTATTGTAAGTATTGATTTATTCTTTTACGTCAATGTGCTCTCCCACACTCTTCCAAATCATAGTCAGGCAATCAACAATAATGCAGTGCAACCAAATTTGGTATCATATTAGATAAATTCAAAATTGACAGCTAAGCAATTTTGCTAAAAAACAAAACAAAACTAAAAACAGAAAAACAATCACAGCACATAGACATAACTCAGAATATATCTGCAATCAAGAACTATTTTCTTCAGAAAGATGCAACAAGTACAGAAACAACAGTTGGTGTTCCACCATCTGCAGAAGCAGAGGGGACTTGCAGTAAAGTTAGTGTGTTTGCACTGCTGCTAGCAGCAACGCTGATGTCAGTTTGACCAATACCACCAAAGGCCTTTGCTCACTGAGTCAGTTTTTTCCAGATGCATTTTTTTAATCCTGCCTCTCTCCACTGGAGTTACCTATCTGGCTGTCTTCACTTCCTCCCTGTCTTGCCTTTGGCACCACAGCTGCATGAAGTGGCAGAGCTGTCCACCCTGTATGTTTCCACATTCTGTGTGCGGTCCACATCCTTCTTGTCTTCATCTTTATCCACCTGAATATTACTATCTGACCTGTTGAGAGTGAGCTGAGTCATGAAATTATTCTGTGCACCCTGAACCTCTGTCATGTTGCGCTGCCACATTTTCTTCTCTGATTCTTGGTCCAACAACTCTCTAAAGGCTTCTGACAGATGTGAAAAAATACAGAAAATTACACCTGCTCTGAAAATTTTAATGCCAAAAGTTTCAGATTCAGTGTGTAGACACGACTGACACAATGTGAGGTCTTTATTTATCTTTTTTTATTTTTAGACTTGCGACAATTTCGGACAAAAAAAAAAAGACTCGGTGTGCAAAGACCTTTAGGCAGACGCACCAGCTAATGTAAGTCAAGATGGGAACCAAATGTCAGCAACTGAATTTGGAGACATTGGGAATGAAGACAAGAGCTCCAATAACAGGGACGATTAGGTTGATAGGCTGGACAATCACCAGCAGCTGCAGGAGGACCATCTCAACAGACCCTGAACTATGGGCAAGCATCACAGAGTCTGTCAGAAAAGTCTTTATTTCTTAAAGTTCCACAGCTTTCCAGAAAAAGATGCCCAAATACCCATCTTCTGTGTGGGACATTGGTGTTGGAAATAAAATGTCGTCACTTATCAATGATTTATTGCATCGTTGCCTCCCATACAACAAGGTACTGCCCAGAAAGTTACTCACCATCAGCATACATATATATATATGTAAAGTTCAGCATTATATCAGACTATTACTAACCAGTCAGACTAGTTCAAAAAAGGATCCAGTTTGTTGCACTGACTAGATTGGTATAATTACATAGTTACATAAGCTCTCCAGTGCTATTTAAATCAGTCCTTAGATAAGAAAAGCTAACACGCGGAGGAACTGCACACATGCCATAACTGTTCATATCTTCTTCATTAATCAAGTAAAAGTACTGTAACTTTATAATAAGGAGTGCTCAAGCAGAAGTAGTCATTAAAACTATCAATTACCACAAACCAGTGGGTGACATCATGGTAGCTATGTCCATTATTTTTACAATCTATGGCTGGGACCAGTGTTTTTTAAATAAATACATTGACATATTAGATTTAAGGTGGAATTCATTGGAGAGAATAAATGATAAATAATTTGTTGTTGACAGTGGCGAGGTACATAAACTTGACATAAACCTTTAAAAGGTAAAAAAAAAAACTGCATTTCAGACAGGAAACTCATCCAGTTTTAACTTTTTATTTTAACATGACATGTAGTTTAGTTTAGGGTGATCCTGCTCACATGGAACAAATCTGTGAAAACCTGACAAAGACTGTCCCCAAGACACACAGTGATTAATAAACCTAACCATGAAGAACCTTCCTGAGGCCATACGTAAAACTCATGCCAGAGGAGGCTGAGGAGGTGCAGGGAGTTAAATTGCAGTCAGCAAGTAGGGCCAGCAAGAGGAAATGTATGTGCAGAATAAATAGGCGCTGTCAAACCACCACTGCCAGTTATAGTTGTGCAAACCATAAAAGTTAATTAATATCTTTAAACACCTTGGTGCTGCTCTGCATCAGTAAAAAGACTCTGTCTGCCTGATATGCAATCGGTATATTATTACACATCAAATACAAAATGTGATTTGGAGATTTGTGTTCAAAAAAGTTCCAAGGTCACTTTCATGGAGCGTCGGAAGCTTCCCATAATTAATGAATGGATCCACACTATGCCAGCTGTTTGGTACTTGCTTTTTGCCTATGTCAGGGAGAGGTGCTTTTCTATAAAATGAAATATGATATTCTGTAGTGAACCACAGTGTTTTTTTACAGTAACTTCCAGATAGAAAACCTCTGCAAAACAGTCATAAAATGAAACGGCCTTGAGCAAACGCTGCCACAATTGGTTGGTTTTTAGCCATCTAGAAAAGGACACGCTTAAATATGTAAAATATTTTCAGCACTTTACCTTATTGTCAGACAGCCCTTTCTGACAGGGAACTGAATCTGTTATCTCAAGGCCACCATGAACAAAAACAGTAGTTTTAGAACATGGTAGTTGCTGGTCTATCGCTGCTTCGATCAGTTACTGCATAAGGTAAAGCAGTGAAAATATTCCATGTACAGCGCACACTTAAACTGATAAGTTTAGGTGGCCCTTTTTATGAGGTTGAAATATGTTTTGCTGCAGCCCCCATCCACAGCAGTACATAACTTTACTTCCATACTGGTAAATTTAGTTGATCAAAGATGCTAACAGGCCAACAGGTCAGACCATCGTGTTGAACTATATATCGTTTAACATTATGGTTTCGGGTGAAAGTGACAACAGAAATAAACTCAGCAATTGCCAGTTGTCTATCTAGATGTGTTTCTTTAGGTATGAGCGATTCAGTCTTTTACTTAGCTCTGAGCAGTTGCCAGATGACCAGTGGTGACTACAGGAAGTTACTGTGCATGACCAAGACACACATTACCCGTCACTCATTCATTCATTGTTTGTAACAGCTTATCATGGTCAGGGTTACCCTGGTGCTAGAGGCTATCCCCAGCTGACATTGGGTGAGAGGTGGGGTACACCCTGGACAAGTTGTAAGAATATCGCAGGACTGATATGGAGAGACAGACAACCAATTACACTCACATTCATACCCACGGGAAATTTAGGGTGCTTTCACACCTAACCTGTTTGGCTCAATTAAAATGATCTCAGGTCCGTTTGCACGGTTAATACAGTTCATTTGGGCTGGTGTGAAAGCTGTCAATGGGACCCTGGTGCGGACCAAACAACCAAACCAAGACCACTTGAAAAGACCCTGATGCGGTTTGTTTGTGGTGTGAAAGAAAACAAACCAACCTCAGGATTTTACGATAGCAGACCTGTGATTTCATCAGCTACACCAATAATAAATCCATCTGATGATCATGAAATCTGTCCACGATCTGATAACTGATCCTGCTAAAGGCCATGTATAGCCCATAACCTATTTATGCTAATGCATCCATGTAACCATGGTAACACATAGGCATGTCAGTGAGGGTATTTTGCCTCATTAAAAGGCTTTTAAAACTGCCATCATTGGATCTGACTCTGAGTACGTTGTCTGTTCATTAAGTCCATTAAAAAGTGTGTGACAGTGATGCCACAGTATTAAGCCCCGAATCATTACTATACAAGACGCCTTCTTTCACCCTGTCTCTATGCAAGTCATTATTCATAACGTGATTTGCAGTCTAATAATAGCCTACTAATGGGCTCTTTGTGAAACTAAACAACATAAATATATACACTTTAAAACTATTAAAGTGCTACTGCAGAAACTTCTGTCAGTCACCAAAATCTGATTTCCCCAGGTGGGTCAAGATGATGCAGGATGACAAACACCAAAACTGTCCAATCAGCCAGTTACCTGTTTGTCAGTAGAACTTCATGTTTACTCCTCTTGGTTTGTTTGCAAAAAGTCAGTGTGAACAGGAACCAAATTACAACTAAAATGCAACAATGTGTCATTTTTTCCCTCTGATGAGATACAGATGAACTGAACTACAGGTGTGAAAACATTCTTAGAATCAACAATTAAGCAGGGAAGGAAGTCAGAGAACCTATAAGCTGTTCCAGACCCTGTAACATACTCACTCATGTGAAGTGTGTATTCTGAAAAAAGCTCCCCTTACAAACAATGGGGATCAGTGATTGGTCATTAAGTTTGCACATTCACAGATCATTCACATGACATCACATTCATGTTTCTGTCTGGCTGATAATTGGTTGACCGAACGCTGCTTCTCACTGAACACAGTCGGTCAGGAGAGCTACATGTTGGCACATTCCCTGAGAAACACTGGCGACTCTCCTCAAGGACAAGAAGTTAAGGTCTGCCCAAAAAGTTGATGGATTTGTCTCTGGGGTTTTTTCAAGTCTGTAATGGGGTCTTAAAAGTTGCAAAATCTTGTAAGAATTTTGGCAATATTGTTAAGGTTATTGTAAAGTTATGTGTTACACATGTGTTAAGGCCAGTCCTTTCATCTTTTTTAGGCACCATGGCAGCTGGATTGAGGCTGATGATCTTGCTAGTGTTGCTGCTGTGTTGTTGGCAACTGACTGCAGGCAAAGAAGGAAAATCCAAGGGAAAGAAAGGCAAGCAAGTTGTGTGTCCATCGTAAGTAAATACACTATGTTCTTCACATTCGACTCTTCTCAATGTGTTGCCATTACTTCTGACATTATCCTCACAATATGTCATCATTTCATTACCCCACCTTGTCACATTATCCAAATATTAATGCTGTACCTTGTTTTTTGTGCTGACAGTATTACTGATACTGACAGTAAGACCAGGCAAGGACATTTTATTTATACAGGTTAGTGAAAAGTGTTTATGTAGACCAAAAACTGACTATAAAGATGGAATATATGCCAGCTCTCCAACACTGAAGTCAAAACATCTTAATCGCCCCCTAGTGGCTGGCTGCCGTATAGGTCCTAAAGCCCGCCTCTCTATGTTAGTGGATGAGACATGAGCTAAACTAAAAACTTTAAGTACAGTAGTTTTTATCACACAGCTGTATGTTCAAGCGTTTTTCTGATAAGTTTGGTTTTAATTAGTCAAGTAATGCTATAAAATTGGGATTTTACAACACGACTGACAACTGTGTGAGCAAATCTGTGGGCTCGCATTCACTGGCGCTGCTCACGATTCATCGGACGGGTGTATGGGCAGGAAACTTGATATCGTGGACATAGCTACTGCGTAGACTCTGACTACTAATGATGTCACCAGAGCAAGATGGCAGCAGCTGTATCCGGGATATTTTAGCCTCACTTCTGTACAGTGTGGAGACATGTATCCATCCTTATATACAGTCTGTGATGTAGATGTGTAGGGTGAACCAGCTATTAACACCAACATCAGTGAACAATCCAAAAGTTATCACATTTATAAACGTGCTTTAAAGGTTTTTCTGCTGTTCTATTTTCTTCTAGACAGATGCTTGATTGACTTTTTAAACTGTTTCTTCTACAGCCAAAATAACCTTTTCATGGGATGTTTTTGGTCTAATGATCAGTGGTGTATTCTGTGTAACTGCATCATCATGTGTTGGGGTTTGGTCAGGGAAAACTGTTTCTTTCATCTGTCATTGCTTCCCTTTTTCTCTTGCTTTCTGACTGATAAGTTGTTTTAGTACTTTTCATTTTACTTTTCACCAGATGGACAGTATACTTGGGTTCAGGGCTTAGTAATATTGATAATAATTATACTATTTATTTTGGCAGGCAAGTGAGTGAGATTCTACTAAGGGTTACCAGTTTAAAAAAAACTGCTGCAGGGGTTCATTGGGGAACAAGGAACAGGTGAGCAGGTTGAAGTGGGAGTCAAGCAACTGGGAGCGATGGCAAAGTTTGAGGGCATCTAAAGGATGGATGGAGAAAAGTCCTAGAAAATGCATAGGCCATAGATGTGGGAATGTTAATAAAAGGAGGGGCAGAGAATTATAGGTTGTGACAGCGGCTACTCTTTACTGGCCCTATTAATATTAGCTAAGAAAGCATCATTAAGTCACACAGGATTTGAACTCGCTGTGCTTATATCATATGACACATGTGGTACTAATTCATTACTGGGGTTCATACAGTAGATTCAATACAACGCTCAGCCATGTGCACACACAGTGTTAGACCATTTATAAACTAATGTCCCATAGCCATAATCATAACCAAAACCCAGCCATTACAGCCACAATCACAGCAATGGCCAACACTGTATCATCCCACAGCTATAGTCATAATCAGAGCTACAGTCTGTCTCAATCAGCCTAAGCAGCTGTTGGTGAGAGAGCTCAGTAGCTCCGCTAGTTAATAAGTAAGATTCAGTAGAATAAAACTTTAAAGGTTGTGTATGCAACATTCAGTGCATTAATATAGAAGCAAACCACTATTTGCTATGAAAAGATAAAGTGGAGTCATGTTGTTCTGAACAGAGAGTGAAGTCACGCTACATCTGTGGTTTGTTGTGGTAAGTCGCTTCAGCCATGCGTGAATGTTAGTGCATGTGTGTATCATACTGGCTAGCTCATTGCCTTCGCTCTGCACTGCGCTCAGCAGGTGTTGACTGCTGATATCAGGACAGGGTCATCACAGAAGTGTAGCAACCGCCCTCCAGTTTCCCCCGGTTAATGCGTTAGCTCTGTCAGCACATTGAGAACCATGTCCTTACTACTACTGTGCTCTGAATTTTGCATAGAGCCCCCTTAATATCTATTATGAGTTATGAGAAAATCCCAGTACATTTAGGAGTTCAGCATTTTTACAAAAAAACAAAAAGGCTAAAGCCCTCTTCTCGCTAAGACCCAAAGTAAGACCCATATTATTAGCTAAGATAAATTGGCCTATTTATAAAACCCATTTAACTTGCAGCACATACGATTAATGATAGCCTAACCATGAATCCTTGTGCAATCATGTGAGCTAGCTAACACTATATTACTGTGCTGCACCTGTCCATGCCAGTGAGGCAAACTAGTTAGCTAATGGTTATGTACTATTGAAACATATTGGCCAATTGGCTGTATTATTATTTCAGGTGTACGGACATACAGTGGATCTCTGATACACCGCCCACCTCAGAAACCACTAGCAAAAGTGCACGGGGTGAGGCTAATGCACCCACAAATATTCTGATAATTATTACAAGTGCAACTCTGTTTTATACAATATATGCAGAAGGGGGTCCGTGCTCCATCCCTCTTCACTACAGGTTCCTTGGGCTGAGCTTTAAAAATCAGTGATCTACGCAGTTTCTATATTAACTACTGTAAAACTACAATAATAGCCCAGGTTATTATTTTCTAAAACCACTGAACTCAACAGGCCTATATTTGGGACAGGCATCTCTATGGGACAGATTTTTAATTCCTTTCACACAAAACTGTTGCTCAGTAAACATGGGGGAATACAATCATTTGTTTTATTTAAACCAGTATGAATATTAATTGTATAAAAATTAGGCTTCAAATAGCATATTAATTATGAATAATTAATTTGATCTAGCTCTGAGAGACAACACATGAGAGAGAGAGAGTTGCAACAGTCATTTCATGGCACCCAAGGGTTACAGCACCAGGCATACCAACACAACACTACTTTATTTATCCTATCCTGTTATTCTTTCAATTAGTGGACCCTTATGGACCAAACCCACCCCACTGAAGCAGAGTGGGCACGGATAAATCGAATCTGCCAGTCCTCCGGCATTCCTTGCATCTTGAGCTCCATCAGTGGGACTCCAAGCACCTTAACATGGGTATCTATATGTCACCCACAAGGAATAACTTTTAATCAATGATCTGATTTTTTGTGACGCCATTTCATTTGGTGGCAAGATGGCCTGGATCAACCCATGATGCACTCATCCTCCAGGAAAGAGTGTTATACCAGGACTTCGAGGCTGGCAGAATGAACATGCTGCTTCTAAGTGACAGTGGGAATGGCTAAAAACACTGATAATCCCTCCAAGGACTGAGCAGGAACAATGCTAAAGCACCATTCATGCTAACATGAGATCGCTTGTTAAAGTTTAAAAAAGAGAAAGGATTGAAGTCCCTTAAAATTGGTGCATATTTTGTTCAGCTCTGCCACGAATGCGTCAGCACCATGGATAGCGTCATTGGCCGAAGGGGGCAGAGGGAGACGGAGGAGGATGCTCTCTGTGGTGCTGACACATTGAACAGGACAGATCACCTCACAAAGAAGAGCTGACCTTTCTCTTTTTTCGTTTAAACCATCGCCGTATGTTGATTATGAGAGTATGAGAGTGACAAAGTATGAGAGTGACAAAGATAAAGAAAAATGGACTAAATAATTCAGTCAATAAACAAACAAACTTGGCACTTAGTGAAAAATTTGGGCTTGACAGTGCCCAAATCATTAGCTATAATTTGTAGCTTTTACTGCCTGCACGTGGAGATGCAGATGCAGCATGAAAGTGTCTGCGCTGTGGTAGCAGTGAGCACTGTCCTTCAGAACATCTGTGTCACCACGAGGATCCCCCTCCCCAGGCAACACCATCAGCCGGTGCAGGAGGAAGACGTGCACCCTGTGGTCCCTGCAGTGCCTGAGGACGTCGGTAGATCACTAGTCTGTTCACACATTGTTATCACCTTAGAAGTTCAGACAGATCTGTCTTGCTGTTTTAATCAGCTCCTTGTCGTGGAGCTATTTCCAATGTATTGCTTCAGTTCAAACAAATTGCCGGTTAAATGCCTGCTCGTTACAACCAAATGTAAAGGACATATAAAGGAACAAATGGACATCAGTGTAAATGTTTTTTTTATTGTTTACATTAGATTGTGGTTAATTATTATTATCATAATTATCAATGTTATCATTTATAAGGACTGCTCCTCCTTTTCAAAAATATGAGAGGGAGGCCTATTTAGCTCTTGTTGGAGGTAATGTATTTCCAGAGCTTATTTCTGGCTCTTCCTGCTTCATCTGTAACTTTTTGGTTTCAGCCGCCACACAGAGGATCTCTCACTTAAGCAGCATCTGCTGAAACTGCTCATCCTGTTTCCATTGCGGTGCTATGGCTCTGCCATGACAAATTTGGGGAATGGCATCAGACAAGTCTGAAATCAAGTAGCGAATTTATAAAATCTGGCCAAGGAGACTCCACCAGTTTGAACTTTGAACACTCGACAATCGACACTCGTCTCTACAGTCTCACTTTCTGGTCCCAATCGCCAATTTGACTATGAAATTACCCTGCTCAAAATACTGCTTTGTCACTTTTTGACCCGCCCACCTCAGCCGTTGTACTTTCTGTAGTTGTATATAATTTTTGGCTTAAGTTCTATTTTTCCCATTGTAGCCATCCACAGAATAACAACAGGGAAATTAAGTTTGGTTCAACGAGGGAGAGAGAGCTGCACAGCATGAGCAGAAAGACAGATAAAACAATACTGCTTGGCCTGTGCCCATCCAGGTCCACCCAAAGATCCTCCTCTGCTATGGTCAAAATGATGTCTTGGAGTAATGCCTTTTTTCAAGCCACTGTGGTATTTAAATAATGATTTGATTCTCAACACTGCACAGTGAAGCTTGTTCTATTAAGTAGAATTTGGTGAAGGAATGTACAATGGTAAGGCTGCGTTGTTGGTCAATAATGTTGATGGTTTAAGTTCAGCAAAAAATATGACAGTTAGTGCATTGTTTTGTTGTTAGGCACTTTATGAAAACATTTTAATGCACTGACCCTGTGTTATACTCAGTACTTTTCCTTGTTTGTTTTTATAACCAGTGTGTTTGGGAAGAAAAAAAAAGGTCTATATTTCCAGTGTTTTAGATTTGATGTCAGTTGTTATTATTTCTATGTAACAGCCAGTTGTCCCCAGAAGACTTGGCCCAGGTTCCGCCCAACTCCACCTCTAACATTTTGAATCGTCTGATGGTCAGCTATGACCCAAGAATAAGGCCTAACTTTCAAGGTAATGCAACAAACTATACAGGTAAGTGATAACAAATTCTTTGTAGAAAGATGGTGGCCATACAGGAATCAATTGTATGAGTATAGTTGTTCATCAAGAATCATTATTTATTTTCCATTAAAAGATGGATTCACAGTTTTTTAAAATCTGGGCACCTGAATGTTGTTTAAAAACAGACTTGAAATCATGTGAAACTGTCATTCAAAGTTTCAGCAGTTAACTTGTAAAAATACATTTTCTTTCACTAAAAAGTCATTACACCCCATCCTGGTTTTGGATTTACCAGTCAGATGGCAGAAAGCCTGTATAGCATTTTGAGGGCACGTGCTTTGCTAGAAATACAATATACTGCAATTGTGTTGTTAATGTGCTAACTGGCTAACTTGCATCAAGACAGTCTTCTGGTTTCCCTCTTTTAATGGCAAATACTGCTGTCTACCAGTGTGGAAAGTTATTTCCTCTTATGCAGGGCAGAACGTACGTGCTGGTTGGCAATGGCTGTAGTCTCTGCGATGTGCTCATGTGCAACTTTTTGGCTGAGACTCAGGAGACGTGAGGCGATGCAGCAGGCGGCTTTCATCACTGCTAGTTTTCTGAAGTTGGTTTGGTGTGTGTCTGGGCTTAAAGACCTTTTAAAAACCACTAAATATTTGTTCTTTTGCTGGGAGAGCAGCCTGATGTTTGTGAACATATCAGCAACTTCATGTGACCTGATATTAGCACCCACTTGTAAGTAGACTCTAACAGGATTTGTATTTTTTTTTCTTAGCAGAAATTAGACAAATTTTTATGATTTTATGTATTTTGCAGATTCTTCCTTGCTATTGGATTGGCCCTCTGCTCCATACTGTTTATTCTTCTTCTTGTTTGACTTTCAAGGGGACCAGTTTTAATTTCATGTATGAACATCCAGTACTGACACAGGTGCAGGACATGGATGCAAGAGAAAAATATCACCCTAGATTCAGCAAAAGTGAAATTCCAACAAAAATATATACAAACAAAAAACATTCACTGCATTTTCTATTTAATATTGAACTTGGTAATATAATTTTTCTTATTGATTAATTATAGAGTCCATTGCAATTCATGTCAGTGCTCCCGCCTGTTGGTTGTACAAAACAAAAGAAAGGAAATATTCAACAGTAGACATTTAAAAATGAGAAGACGAGATGATGAGATAAAGGTAGAGAGATGGAGAGAAGATTTATGGCAGAAGAGGAAACAGGTTGAGAATAGAGGGAACATGAGGAGTGTGTGCGGTTGATTTGCTCTGAGAAGCTTCAAGCTACAACCAGATGTCCTTCACCTCTCTCTCTCTCTCTCTCTCTCTCTCTCTCTCTCTCTCTCTCTCTCTCTCTCTCTCTCTCTCATACACACACACACACACACACACAAAACCCCTGTACTTCCATACACCAAAACAGCATGGTGGCATTTAAATGTTTTTTCACTGGGGGCACTGTTTTACTTACTGCATTTGAATATTGTTCACAGCATAGAAGGTAAAGTATTTGAAAATGAAATGTCAAATGCCATTGATATTGTCAGATTGTAATAAAATTACATTTTCATTTTGCCTAACTGGAAAATCACGTCACAATGTTTATGATTCATTTTAACTTTTAAATGTGAGTTATCATTTGAATATTGCCTACTGTGCAGCAGGGTAAGACTTGGACAATTAAATGCCAAAGAGCTTTTCAATTTTAATTTTAATATGGTAACAGGACGTCCATACAAGTGTGTGACAATGAAAATGCAAATTGGATTATTGCATTTTTACTTTAATTCAAGTAACTTTTACTTCTGAGAAAAAGTATACTGCTACTGTGGAGTTACATATTCATTTTCAAGGTGACATTATCATTTTAATAATGTCCCCAATGAGGATTCCATAGTTTTGCCTTGGCACTTGAAAGATTACACACTTGTAAAACACTGTTAAAATAGAATAAATAGAAAAATGAAAAATAATGTCAGTATGTTCTTGTAGATTCCTCCAGCAAACATTACTAATAGCCCTCTCTTTGCTACAGCGATACCATAATGTGTGTTGTGCTAGGCTAGTTACATTAACAGGTTATGGACAGTTGCTTTAGCATGTTGCTTGTTACCCACTGCTTTTGTTCGGTGTAAATGAGCCCAGCTGGGAAGAATTGTGGTAAGCTGCTAGTGCTCAACTTGTTTACTCTTGGATAATGGTGCTTACTTAGCTAACCTGAAATCTTCAGGCAGGTTCTTGCATCATTTGATGTTAGGAAAAGGGTTCTGTGTATGTCTTCTCTGTGAGCAGGCCACATCAGGTCAGCCAGCTGCTGCTGCTCCTACAGCAGCAGAGAGGTGAGGAATAAGGGGGAAGGGAAGTGAGCTGCTCATTTTATTGACCTGGTGACGTCACAGTGTCATAGGTCACACTGACCAATGGTAATTGGAAATTGGGTCCATGGGCAGAGTTTAATACGCAGGTGTGAAAACCTGAGGACTTCTGGGTAACTGAGTTTGTTCAGGGAAGTCACTTTTTACATCTCACAATGAAAGTCCGGTTTAAGTCACACAGTTAAACAAATTCATCTGTGGGAAATTGAGGATGCCCTACATCAGTTTTCTATTAGCTGTAATGTACCAGCAGTGTAAAACAGACTAAAGCAAATCAGGAACTGCCTGGGCTCTGTTTGAGAGGAAGTCTAATATCCAGTTGCAGAGTGTGGTAGTCAAGCCCAGGGTGCTACAATTGCCAATTAGTTTTAATGGGGAGGATTGTATCGAATGCTGAGCTGAATCAATAAACTCCATTCTGATATAGATGATTTTTAAGATGTGTGAGGGCTGAGTAGAGGGCAATGAAGATGGCATCCTCTGTGGATCTGTTGGCTATGCAAACTGGTGAGGGTTCAGGCCAGCTCAGAGTTGTTTTCAATGTGCTGGAGAATCTAAATTTCTAAAAGCACATCATCAAAACGGTGTGAATGCCACAAGGCAGCTATTGTTTAGATTACATACTGCACTGCTTTTTAGGTACAGGGACAATGGTAGCTGTCTGGAAGTAGGTGGAAACACTCCTATGACAGTTACATGGTGAAAAATATAAGTGATGGCATTAGCTAGCTGGTTGATAGGCCTACATATTTTCAATACACAGCCAGGGATGTTATCAGACCCAGGTCTTTGACTGTTTTACACTCAGCGATTTTAAAAGTACACCACTGTTTATTCTACTGTAAATTATGTCGTTAATTAGAAGATGTATCAAAGCTGTTCCCACTGCCATTGGAGGCCATATAATCCATGACTGTCTCAAATCGCATACTTCTGTTTGTACACTTCAATGTAGTACACTCCATACACTAGGTACTACTTGCATGGTGCACTTATTTCAACAGGGTATTTTTGTCTCAGATTGTGCACTGCCATTCTGCACTTAACGGAAGTGACAATGGCTTTTTTAAAACAGCCTCTTCTTCATCTTCATCTTCTTTTTAAACTGCAATTCCCAAATGGATGGTGGAGCATTATTGCCAACATTTGACCACTAACTCCACCAACACATAAACCAAACTTACACCACAACATAAATGCTGATAAAAATGTGCTGCCCTAGCTCGGAGCAAGTTAGCTAGCTACCAAATGCTAACATTAGCCAGCAAGCTAACCTTAGCACTCACGTTATTGCTTGCAGTACCAAATCAGTACAGACCCAACAGTCACTACTGACGGCTTCTGTTCAACAACAGTTTTTCAATCAGGAGAGACTCGTTTTTAGTTTTGGAAAGAAAATTTTTAATGACAAGTGCACATGAGAATGAAAATGTGAAAAGTCTTTGGCGATTAGACCCCTTTGAGATGGTGAGCTATGAGGAGGGTGATGGATCCGTAGCCAATTAGGGAACCCCCTCTGGGTCTGGACGCTGGTGGTGGTAGAGGAAGTGAAGAAGAGATGAGGATTAGATGGATGGGTGCTGATGATCAGGGTGAGTAGAGGTATGAATCTTCAGGCTTGTCTTTGACCTTGGATACGACGGCTGGAGGTGAATGGGGTGGAGGAGGGGTGGCGATTCTGCCTAGAATGACAGCTGAAAGCGGCAGAGGAGAGAACAAATTTAAAATCTCTTAGTGACAACCTGATTGGCTGATGGAGGTCGTGGCTAATTACGATAGGACGGCTAGAAGAGTGAATGCCCAGAGGCAGCTGATTGGAGGAAGCAGTGGGAGTGGGAGAGGGAGAATTGTGAATGAATGAGCAGAGGAAAGTTTTCCTGATTGAACTTACGCTGAGCTTCTTTAGTACTTGGTGCAAAAAACATGTATAACTTTCATCTGTACAACGTAGCAGTGTTTACTGTAGCTAGCTCAGGCTCCTTGTTGTCCCCAGCTGCCATGTCCAAAGTTGAGAAGTTTGTGACAAAGCTTCCACTTCATCACAAAGATGGCGACCCTTGAGGGTGAGAAGTGTCCATCATTTCACACTCAACTTTTGGACCATTTTGAGTGTGCCAGTAGTACACTGCATTTTCCCGTACTATGCAGTGTGAGTGCACTTAGCATACTTGTGCACTCAGAATATTAAGTGTTTAGTACAGGAGTATGCGGTTTGAGACATACTGCATGTGATTTTGATATTTAGGATGCATATTTAAGCCTACTGTGTTTTTTAAATTTATTTATTAAACAAAGCATTTCAATTATTAAAGTAATAAAGAGTTGGATGCTATTATCCAAAAACTGAGTGGTGCATTTTTAGTTTCCCTGAGTCTATATTTTGCGACCACGATATTGTCTAATGAAGTCCACTTTTAAAATGAATGATCACAGAGACTGGGTACATCCCAAGTCTCTTAAAATGCATCTATGTTTCCCTCACTTGCCTCTTTTCCTTTTGGAAACCAAGGATCCCTAAAAATCCCACCAGGGATGCAGGGAAACTATACAAGGAGAGAGGGACAGAGAAATGTGTTTTAAGAGAAATGAGACGTTTTTTCCTCTGAAGCGTAAAGTGGAGCGACACTTGTTTCTGATGACAGCAGCAGCTGATCACAGCTGGATCAGCCTTTAGTCGTCTCTAACAGCTGTGAGAGACTTTTAACGGAGTTTGTGTCACATGTACACTGTACTAATACTAACAGAGGCACACAGTTATCAAAGCTAGAGCAACAGTATTTTCTCTCTGTGTAACAAACAGCTGTACATTGATAACATGCGTTTTGTATAAAATGTATGATTTATTCAGTCATCTGTAGACTGTTAATTGATTTGCTAATTGCAAATTCCTTATTTAATTACCCAATATATGATTATTGTTTCTATTGAACTCTGGAAATTAGTTATGAGGCTAAATGTTTAAGGAAAAAAATGAAACTCTGTAACTCATCACACCTGAAGCTCAGGACTTAAAAGCCTCACATGTGACTGAATGGAAATGATGTTAACTAAAAGGTGTTTCTTGCTGACAGAGAGACACACTCTCTCTGACTTTAATTGTTTCCACAATAAAAGGAGAAATTGAGGAAAAAACAGATCATGAAGAAATCTTTCTGATATATGAAGAAAGTTGTTTCCGGTTCTTTTGTTGTTCAGATTTTTAACTACATGGTGATTCAGGAAACAAATAAGATATAAAACTTGAGAGTGACACACAAGTTCAATCTCTAACCTGTCTTCACTCCAGTATGAAACTCCTGCAATGTTGTGATCTATCAGCTGATCTATTAGTCTGATCAGCTGCAGCGCATCCAATCAATAACTGATATCAAATCGGAGGGGCGTGTCGGCTGACTGAAGACTTTTGAAGGCTGCCCTTGTGTATCCTCAGTCCTCATTTGCTTGCCTTGCTTTCAGACTGCTGACTGCATACAGATGGTAGCGGAGTGATGAGGTAGCACCTTTGCAACTCCAGGTGGCAGACAAAAGAATTGCATGTTGGATTTTATGAGGCTGGAGGATAGTGTATGTTTCTCCCCTGGCAGCTCCGCCCTGGAAAAGTGAAGCACTTTTAATTTCTACCGCTGTACAGTGAGTTCATGTGGAATTTCCTTGTTGAGAGGGTGTTTTACCTCAAATACACTGTACACCATCAGCTTCTGAGCAGAAGAAATCATTGTGTTTTATATGAAGAACAGTCTGGTGCCATATTGCTTTAAGTTTGTCTTTTGTGTTTATGTGTTTCAGGTATCCCAGTTGAGTCCAGAGTGAACATCTTCATCAACAGCTTTGGATCCATTCAGGAGACCACTATGGTGACTGACACACACACACACACACACACACACACACACACACCACAAACACACTTAAAGGTCGAATGAGTAGAATTTAGTGGCATCTTGAACTGAAACTTCTCTCGTGTGCCAAGTGCATTGGAAAAAAACTGTTGCCAAAACACAAATGGGCCTATGTAGAGCCAGTATTTGGTTTGTCCATTCTGGGCTACAGTAAAACAACATGGCAGACTTGAGGTGATGATAAACTAATGAAAACATAGTTATGGATATTATATACATTGCTGCCAATAGATGTCAGTAAATCCTACACACTGGACCTTCAATGTAATTATTTTTAAATGATATTTAGTTTAAAATTATGAATTGCTCTCTGGATAGTGCAGTTACAACTGGATACCACTGTGTTTTGTATAAAAAGGTGTTTTTGTAATTTGGGTGAACAGATCCATTTATACTGGTCAAAATAACATCATGGTAATATTATCATTAGTATTATTAGCAGTATAGTAATAGCACAAGCACTGAAAATAGCAGTGGCTCTACCAGTAGTAGGAGCAGCAGCAGAAGTACTAGCAGGAGCGGTAGTAGACATGGTGACAGTTCAATCCAGTCCCACTCCCAACTCATCTAATACTGATGCTAAGTCAGCGGTCCTCTGTGTCTGGTACCAATGCACCAATGCACCCTTTAGCAGTGGTAATAGGTGCTCTGGGCGACATTTTTTGATGCACTGAGCAGTTACCATAGTACAAAGAGCAAGAAAGGCTGCTTATGGCTGGCAGGAGGGGAGGTGGAGACTGTTTGTGTCCCCTGTGAAACCAAGTGTCAGTTGAGTTATTTTATTTGCACTGTAGTGTGCTAGTGTGTGTAACATACAGTACTATGCAGATGAAGTATGTGACGTCATGAATGTACTTTGTTGCCTAAACCTAAGAAAGCAAAGTATTTTACCAACGTCTAAGTTTATTTTGAAAAAAAAATAACAACAACTTTTTGCATTTAACAAGCAAAAGCTGTACATTTCATGTGAAAACTGAAGTGAAAAGACTCAATGCATGTAATAAGCATAAATTAACCCACCATCCCTGAGTGTCCAAAACTGACTCTGGACGGGCACCTAGAGCATCATAGTTTGATGTGTAAGGCCACTGACCAGGTGTTGGTATGTGACGAGTTAGGAGGGCAAATGTGTTGCGCAGTTATAAATGCAGTGTTTCTCTCTCTCTACAGGACTATAGAGTGAACATATTTCTTCGTCAGAGATGGAATGACCCTCGCCTACGACTTCCCACTGACTTCAAGAGTGACGCACTAACTATTGACCCCAACATGTTCCAGTGTTTGTGGAAACCAGACCTTTTCTTTGCCAATGAGAAAAACGCTAACTTCCATGATGTCACACAGGACAACATTCTGCTCTTCATCTTCAGGAACGGAGATGTCTTGATTAGTATGAGGTACGCACACACATTATTTTATTATTTTATTTTTTTTGTCAACCTCCAGGATCCATGACCTACTTCATTCCCAGTGACAGAGCTGCTTCTTTTACAGTCCAACACTTCCTTCTAGTTATTACAACGTGTCAGTGTTGGTTTGTGGGTTTGCCATGAAATTTAACACACGCATTCTCTTAACTTTTCATCCAGTGCAGACATGTCAAAAGTCCCACCAGAAGGCCAGTCATTTTCAATGGCCAACGGCTTGTTGTTCAAAATATACTGTATGTGCCCACCACACATATTGTTCAATGATGCAGGATCACTTTACCTTTTTTTAATTCACCCAATGATAGCAGGACTATCATACAGGTTGTACACATGACCAAGTAGGAACTATGCAGGCAGAACTAATGTGTTTTTATAAACAGATGATAAATAAGCAAACAAACGATTACCTAACAGCAGACATTTCCATTAGATAGTAGACATGACCACAGCAAAGAAGCATAAGTTGACAGCAAGGACAACAGCTTTCAGGAGCAGTGGAAAGTTCAATACATTTTCACTGAAATATGAAAAAGTTGTGATTATCTCATTTGCATGTGATTCTTTTTTTAATAATCCATATGATGCGAGAAGCAGCTGGCCCCAAATTATTTTCATCTTGTCTAATATGGCTCCTCAAAATGTTTGAACACCCCTGATCAAGTGCAGTCATCAAGCCAAAAATGTCAAGTTGTCCGTGACTTTAGCGTATGACCAAATACCTGCAAAATGACGTGCTAACCGGAGATGGGGAACATTTTACCTGCTTAACATGGGGATGAAAGATTGGTCACTGTAGTCATGTCATAGCATTGAGCTCAAAGCACCTAAATGAAGCTCCACAGAGCCTCTCAGTATGGCTGTGCCCCTACAAAAAAAATATAGACTTTACAGTGAATGATTTGAAGAATTAAATACATGTAAAATAATAATATTCTCCTTTTCACAAAATGTTATTTTAATTGATCTTCGGGTCTTTCTGAGGATCTAGACGGCCCTGGCAGTTCCAAACTGGAAGACAGTATAGAAAGATTCTAATCAAAGTAAACAAATGAGATATTTAGAATACAATAAATAAGGTGTGTCTTTTATCCACCTTATTTTTCACGGAAACACGGAGGCAAAACAGAACGCAGCCAGCTTCCGTTTTTTTGGCGACACTTCCGGTCCAGCACTCTTACCACTGTGTAAATGGGAATCGCCTTGTTGTTTACCTTGCTGAGTTTAGCTATATATATGTATATATCACATTTTTCACGTCACTATATCACCGTTTAGACTAATCTGATGTTTGTAAAGTCTATAAACACAATGACTGAACAAACATTAGTATTTTCTCTGTGTGTAATTAATAACATGGTTATCGTAGATTAGCTGGGCTAACCGTTAGCTGTTAGCCGTTAGCCGTGTCTGTAATAACTCACTAAACTCACAAAGTGGCCCGTGAAAAAAATATTTTCTCCAGCGGATGTCTTAGTTACAACATGATTGAGCTAACTGGAGTAGTTTCATGTCGTATCCGACAACGGGAGGCTTTTAACGGATGACGATCCTGATGTTAGCTTTGCTGCTAGTGTTAACGTTAGCTGTCCCTGTCAGCTGCAGCCACTGATGCTTTCTAGACATCGTGATTTCCCAAAACTGAATAAATACCACACATAGCAACACAAAACTGCTTTGCTAGCTCAATCATGTTGTAACGGCTGGATGGTTGATGCGTACATGCTGATTCAGGTGCTATCAGAGCCGATCCGCGCATCACTATGGCTTAATGATCAACTCAGTCAATTAAAACAACCCGTCCTGTGTTAGGAGTGTATGTCGCTGACAGAAAGAAAGAAAGAAAAGGGAAAAAAAGATAGAAAAGCAGCGTACACCTCACATATTTATTTCTCACAGTTGCGCACACGTGTGGCTGGCATGCAGAAGCACCGTCTGTGTGTCTGTGTGTCGAGGGTGTGAGCCGCAGCTTCAGCTGCTCAGGTAGAGAGGCTGTGTAGCCCGGTGTGTTTTTTCGCTGATTCGGTTCTGCAGGTTCTCTGCTGGTACACTGGAGACGGGGATCAAGCAGTTTGTCTCACTCGGGATAGATTGTGCTTTTTTGGTTCATAGTTTATGATTGACGTGCGATTTATTCGCGTTTAGAGGGAATAAATTTCCGTTATAACGGAAATGTGGGCACAGTTATCTAATGTTATACAAAATACACAGACTAATTAACTAACTAACTAACTAACTAACTGATTGACTAACATAAACAACTGAAAATTGAAAAAAAAAATTAGCTTGCACCGTTAGCTCCGGTAAGGGAAAGCATGAGGGAAAGCGGCTGACCGGAAGTCACGCACAAAAACAACGGAAGTTGATCACTATTTACTTCCGTGTTTGAAAATAAGGCGGATAGGAACAGTGTGTAAGATTTAAGGAAATTTAGTAGCGTCTAGCCAAAACAAACAGATCAGGTGATTTACACCCATAAAAACAATGATTAAAGCAGTTTCACATTAAAAAAAAAATCTGTGTTTTTCTGATGCTCCTCGTCACCGAGGGGCTTCGTACACTGTGTCCTAACTGTATGTGAGCATCAGACAAATGTGCCGCATCGCATTACATCGGAAGCTTTCCATTCAAGGCAGATCCATTAAACGTGGAACTCCATCACATCATGTAAACAAACCACTTACCTAGCAGCTGTGTGCTCAGTAACCACTGAAAAGGCAGGTAAATGTGTTTTTCCTTATTATTTGTACTCATTGTTGTATCATTGCACCATGTCCACTTTGTAAAACAAGCTAGCTTGCTAGCATCCCACACAATTCTCACCAGTAAAGTTGATCTTCCTGGTGATCTCCTCCAGCCAGATGCCAACATATTTAGGTTTTTGTAGTGAAATGAGGTAACCTGTAGGTAATTCCTCATTAAGACCTTGTGAATCAGCTGTTCCATGTCCACTGAAGCGCTTTCAGTGTGAGCAACAGAATAAAGATAGAACGGGGCGTCTGACAACAGTTCAGCTCAAAGTGGCATGTCCCATTGCGTGGCGTCATGTAGCGTCGTTCACTGGCAGTTAGGACAGTCCAACAGAAAACAGTGCAGTAAAACTGATTTAGTCGCTGATGCTCATTCGTATTATCCCACCCAGTTAGGGCAAGGTGTAACTAACTTGAATGTCAAGTGAAAACTTGAATGTCCTTCTAGAGCCAGTGTTTGGTTTGTCCATTCTGGGCTATTGTAGAAACATGGCAGTGCAACATTAATTGCCCCCCGGGGATGAATGAAGTGGTTTGAATTGAATTGGATTGAAACATGGTGATCTCTGTAGACAAGGACCCCTCCTTATGTAGATATGAATGGCTCATTCTGAGGTAACGAAAACACATTTCTTATTTTCAGGTGATTATACACTAAAGAAAATATGCAAATTATATTATATTCCATTTCTGCAAATATATCCCCCTAAATCCTACACACTGGACTTTTAAAGTTGAGGTTTTGTCTTTCTCCTAGTGAACCTGTGTGTGTGTGTGTGTGTGTGTGTAGGCTGTCAGTGACGTTGTCTTGTCCCTTGGATCTTACACTCTTCCCAATGGACACACAGAAGTGTAAGATGCAGCTGGAGAGCTGTGAGTATGCATGCACACACACACACACACACACACACACACACACACATTCACACATAAACACAGACATACACACATTAAACAGACATACACACACACACACAATGTTGGATAATTACAGGCAGTAAAACAGCTTTTGACATGTACTGAAGTCAAATGTTAACATTCTAAAAACCAGGATAAGTACATTTGATTACTTAAAGTCAGGCAGAAACAGACATCTGATGTAAGTCAAGTCAGCTCTACTGTCAGAGAGGAAAGGTGGTAGCTTCTTACAGTCATCCTCTAATAAATCACCAGCACATTGGTGTTTCTCTGCAAATGGGATTTTGTTTAATTAACAGTACATTCATCTAAATAATAGGACAGTATGTAGGGGTTGCAGTAGTCACTCAATTCATACTGCCACCGTGCTGCTGCAGGGCACTCTGTGCTCTGCATGAATGCTGCAAAGTGTGTAAGCGAAGGGGGGACTCTCAAGGGCAGCAGTGTGTGAGCATAGTAACAGAGATGGAATTGTGAAATTACCTGAATGTGGCTCTTATCCAATGTCCATTAACAGTAACTGTGAAATGCTTCAGAAACAGCTCATTTTCCCACCAGGGCCTCCAAGCAGGTCAATCTGACCATGGTGTCATAGGCAACATTCACATTACAGGGCTTAAAGCTACAGCTGGTGAATTTTATGAAAAAAAAAACAACAACAACTTTTTGTAATATTTACTAAAACTAAAACTGTCACTGCATCCACAAGGTATTATGAGACAAATCTCTAACATAGCTGTCAGTTTTGTCAACCACTGCTTATTAACTGCTGTCAAACTGTCAAAGGCAGCACTGATCAAATATGAATCAAGATTATGTTACTGCATTGCCTGTTTCTCACCTCAAATGTTTTCAGAAACATATTTTAGTGTACTGTTTAGCTGTAAAATGTGAAAGTTTGTGACCCAGCTGCCATGTTTGAAATTATCAACCACTACACAACAACCTAAGCCAATTCCCAAGCAAAGACGGGCAAGTCCCAAGTCAAGTCCTAAGTCAAGACTGACAAGTGCCAAGTCAAGTGCCAAGTCAAGTCCCAAGCAAAGACAGGCAAGTCCAAAGTCAGGCCCAAACTGCTAAACTTTGAGTTTTGAGGAGAAGGGACATATTTTTTTCTCCAAAATAATAAACAATTTGAGTAGGATATGAAGTAAATATATTTGACTTAAGATTGTTATTAAAATAGTTTACTGTTGTATGCAAGATTTAATGGAAAGCATATCCTGAAAATACAACATCCTCTGATGGCATAGTTCAGCAGGGAATGATCCATCAGGCCTTAGTTAGTTGTACATGACTGGTTTTCCCATATACTGTATTACAAATATCATGAACCATGAAATCATCATTTTTGCAAAAGGTAAATAGTGGAAGAGTGAAAGTTGGAGTTGTTAAAGACAGACATATCTTACAAAGTCTGTCGCCATATGCAATGAGGAAAAAGTTGAAAAAACTGGGAGAAGGGAAAAACAGTGTTTAGAAATAAATTTTAAAATCTTAGCATATCATGAACAAATAATGTGGGTTTTGAAATTCATGCTTGGTGTGACAAAGTTATGGATGCTCAAAATATAGATTATTCATTTTCATTTTTATGTTTTAGTTGGCTATACCACCAGTGATCTTGTGTTCATGTGGCAGTCTGACCCTGTTCAGATGGATGAGATTGCTCTCCCTCAGTTTGACATCAAACAAGAGGACATAGTATATGGAAACTGCACAAAGTACTACCAAGGAACAGGTAAGTATACATTACTAGTCCATACCCATTGGTAGCTTTGTCACATTCTACCTATGCCAATCCTCAATGCCTATGTGCAGTTTCACATAGACTGACCACGTCAGTGAGTAGAAAAACGTGGGACAGACAGAATGACAAACTGACAGTTTCCGTGATTATGTCATACCTGTCATAACCTGGCTCAAGGGCAATGACAAAAACAGAGAGACACAGCGCAAACTTAAATACAAAAGTATGTTTATTTAAGTAAAGCAACGTAAATAAACATAATGCAGGTATGGGGTGTGTTAGTCACTGTGATCAGTAGTGTACATGTGGATTTGTGGAGCATGCGAGGTGTGGTGTTGTGGAGATAACCTAAAAGAAATAGAAAAGCCACAACAACCCGCTTAATCAACCCACGCAGCCAAGCAGGGGCAGAAAAAAAGAAAAACATTTGGCCACAGGGGGAGCCACAGCGATCAGTCGCATTTTAGCCATTTTTAAGCATATTTCTGTTGTTATAGCGCCACCCAGTTGCCAAATAGAGTTAAATTCCTCCAGTCACCTTGAGGCGTCCTGTTCTACATATCTACCAAGTTTAGTAAAAATCGATTGGCGGTTAGGCCTAGATAAGAAATTAGCTCTCTAGCACCCCCATTATGTGGTCATATGCCTACAAAGTTGCGTGGTGATCAGTGAAACCCTTGAGATGTTATACACCTTTATGTGATGAGCCACGCTCTCCGCAATATTCATTGCCTTATAGAAGCTCAGCTTTAGTAAGTTTTCCAACTTTTGTCAAGAGGGAACTTTAGATTTTGGTCCCTAGATTATGTCCACCTTGTGTAGCGTAAAGGGACTACAAGTTGTACTTTGCTGTGCAACCCTGTGTCTCAGGATGACAATAAATGCCCTGAAACCCACATTACTGTGTGGAAAAAATGTTACAAACAAGTATTATAATTGAACTTTATATGCAGTATTAGAGTTGCATGCAAAACTGCCCTTTTGAATGTATTTATATTGCTGCATTTAAATAACAAAAATATGGTTTATATATGGCTTTGATTATTTTAAATGGCATTATACTCAAAAAGTATTTCTAAGTTTCTCTATTACCCCTTTTCACCAACATGCTTCCCTGCCTAATTTTGTACCTTTCTGAGCATTTCGACCAAAAATAAATTAGTTCAGAAACTAAAAGTTGGTTCCCAGCTGAAATAAAAAAATATGGGTTTTCTTTGATCTTAGGTGCAAAATGACAACATCATTGGGTGCATCATATTCTACAGGTTGGAAAGAGAGCATGGAGAAGGCAGCAATAGAGACGTTAAATAAGAAATCATGCTTATTTTTTGATACAGATATCTAATAGCAGAACAAATGTTTGCAGGTAATCAATGTAATCTGCAGTCTTGCTTTTACTGTTTACTTCTGTTGTGCACTGGGCAATGCCCTCCACTGATGACACATCCTCGATTACATTGGTCCTGATCCAAACTGGCCTGGTTTGCCAGATAGCACCAAGGTTCTAAATGCCCTGGACAGACCTGGTTCAAGAACCAGAGCTAATTTTGTGGAAAAGGGGTATATGATGATTGCTACTGGCCAAGTGGGTAGTAGAGGGGAGATACTAATATTCTATTACAGGCACCATTGTCAAATAGTTTGGATGATCCACCAAAGGCCTCAGAGCCCAAAGTTTGCTGCACCTACTAATCACACAATAGAAAGAATGCCCTGTTGTACGAATTTTGTGTGATCACACAGCACAAATAGAAACTGTTCTGCATACAGTGGGTTAGCTTGATTTGACTGTTCATGATTTGATTTTTAACTTTACTACAAACGAATCTCTTTAAAAGACCAGAGCCCACACCAGCCTTGAATGAACCATCTAAGCGATTCTGGAGTTTAAGCCAGCATGGAGTGTTAAAAATGAAAGATGCAAAGGATTAAGACCTCTGACAGTTACTGACACCTGCATTAAAAATTGGTCAATTGTGAAAAAAATTTGGGACATGTTACAACACTTTATTTAAAAATATCTAATGAGTGTTATAATGTTTGAACAAACTGTCATTGATTAAGGCCAAATTCTGCACCAGGTTCTGCCTGCACTTGTGAACTTGTGGTGCCCCCACATGGTTCAACATTGTTGTAAAATATACATTTTGAGTTTTATAATGATTGGACAAAACATTTTTGATTTATAGTTTGATTTGTGTCATGTCATGACCATTTCTTAACAGTTTCAGGGTGTGTTTCAGGTACTCATGTGGACATATCCTGCAAGTTTTGTGATGACTGGTGTAATGGTTGTAGACCCTTTTAAGGGTCAATATTTTCAAAATACAGTAAGATATCAACAAGCTTTTGATAACTTTTGATAAACTTGGTCAAATGATGACCAACAGAAAATTTCGTGCAAATTAGACCTATGGTATAGGAGATGTCAAAAATGTATTAATGTGTTAATATTCAAAAATGGTGGAAAATGTAGTTGGACTTTTGTAGAGCGCATTAAGCTGGACTTGTGTGTCCAATTACAGGTCAGTGTGACTTACATTGTGAGAAGTGTGGCCTTTCCAAAATTGCATGTTTGGGCCTTTATTATATTGCCCCCGACAGGTCGACTGGGTACACTTTTGTTCAGCAGCATTTGCACACAACTTCCAGTCACTGGTATAAAATGTGTCTACGATGTATCATCTTAGGGCAATTTGCAAAAACATTTAGAAATAAAATTAATAATGTGAATAAATCAGCACAAAACAAAAGTTTGAACCCCTAAATATAAAATACATGATAGCTGTTTGCTTGACTCCTCTCTCTGTTTCCAGGATACTACACCTGCGTTGAAGTGATTTTTACATTGCGTCGGCAGGTTGGTTTCTACTTGATGGGAGTTTATGCTCCAACTCTATTGATTGTTGTTCTGTCCTGGTTATCATTCTGGATCAACCCTGATGCCTCAGCTGCAAGGGTACCATTGGGTGAGTGTCACAAATATATATTTTACATGCTGCATTTCAGTTTACATTCAAGTATGCAGTATTAAAATATTTACATAAGTTATGTACATCCTACAACACTGACAGGTCGGAGCACCAAACACAGCAGCATACTAAACACATCATTATTACATTTTTGTCTCTGTTTCTCTGCATTTAAGTTGACACAAATGTTATTAATCTGGAAATAATCACTTTTTAACATTAATGTGTTAACATCTGTGTGTCTCCAGGTATTTTATCAGTGCTTTCTCTGTCCAGTGAGAGTATGTTATTGGCCTCAGAGCTACCGAAGGTTTCATATGTAAAAGCCATCGATATCTGGCTCATTGCCTGTCTACTTTTTGGGTTTTCATCGCTTGTGGAATATGCTGTGGTACAGGTCAGTTCTTACACATCATCTCACACATCTACAGTCATCTCCATACCCATCACTGTGTTACACCCTTTGTAGCCTGAGAGTCTGGGATTATGGAAGATGGAGGAACCAACATTATGATACACCAGCAATGGGGCAAACAGTAGCGAATCCTGGTATGGGACGAATAGGCATTTGCCCAGGGCGGCACTTTGTCATGATATGTGACCCCCCCACATGTGTTGTTTACGTGACAATGCCTGAACGCAACACAGGCTCTGCTCCAATTGAGTGTGTGTACAGTGCCGTGCTGCGCTGCTGTGCAAGCAGCGTGTTACACACTGTCCATAACAATAACTATGTCAGGTAACAAACTGCGTTGGACTCGGGTTGGGTTCGGTCAGGAAAATGCGGCCCGAGCTGGGCTCTAGTGTGCTCACCCTTGTCTGTGTGTGTGTGTATGTGTGTGTGTGTGTGTGTGTGTGTGTGTGTGTGTGCATGCATTTGGGCAGACCTCCGCTGTGTGTGATACAGAGAGCAGAGGAGATTAGTAAAGGCGCGACCACGTAGAGACAGAAATGACATGCTGTGGTGTAAATAAGATAAATAACATTTGGTTATTTAGTTTGTTTAATAAAAGGACAAGGTATAGACCTGTTCTATAGGAAAGGTAACCTTAAATGACTTCTGTTGTGATCTGCCGCTATATAGAAAATAAGATAAAATTAACTTGACCTTTTTCGAGGGGGTGGGCATTTAGGCTAGAACCGCCACTGGAGGCAAAGTCATCTTTGACCTTACTTAGCATTATGAGGTCTAGACTGGTTGTTGAAATTAGATATAAGATATCAGTCACAGAAACAACTACAGTGCAAAGAACATATAGAGCAAGTTTATTACTATTATTGCCCTTTTATTGTGTGTGTACTGATGGGGTGATGGGCAACTTTGCCAACCAAATGAACAACAATTTTCATAATACTCGTAATTGTGCACCTAGCCTAGAGTGACGAAGATAAGTCTCAAACTTTGTTGTAAATTCTTACACCACTCATGTTGCTGCCTGCACACATATAACTTGACAGGACAAACACTGAGAGTGGGGAAAAACTTTGGACATCAAGTGTCCTGAACTTTCAAATGCTATTAGTATCTCTGTAGGCAAGGTGTGCCCACAAAATCCACTAATCTGTTCTTATGCATTCTCTCTATCCCTCTTCAAATCCCTCTCTGCCCCTCTGTCTGTCTCTTTCGCTGTAGGTGATACTCAACAGTCCCAAACTGATTGAGGAAGAGAAAGCCAAAATGGCAACGAAAGAGAAAGCTTTGCAAGAGAAAGAGGGAAAAAAGACTTCAAATAAAACTAACAACACAGTGAATGGGACTGGTGGAACGCCCATACATGTCAACACTCTGCAGGTAAACACAACCCAGGCAAATGGACCAGCAGCATGCATGAATAAACAATCCCAATTCCAAAAAAGTTGGGACACTGTGTAAAACTTAATCAAAACAGAATGCACTGTTTGATCTATATTACATTTAATGTAGTCCAAAGACTATATTTAATCTTCAAACTGATAAACGTGGGAGGTGCATGTTTACCACTGTGTGACATCACCTTTTCTTTTAACAACACTTAGTAAGCTTTTGGGAATTGAAAACACTAATTACTCAAGTTCTGAAAATTAAAGTCTTTCCTATTCTTGCTTTATGTACGACTTTAGCAGCCTAACAGTGCTGGGTCTCCGTCGTCTGATTTTGCTCTTTGCAATGGGCCACACATTTTCAATAGGAGACAGGTCTGGACTGCAGACAGGTCAGTCTTGTACCTGCACTCTTTTACTACAAAGCCACGCTGTTGTGACACATGCAGAATGTGTCTCATTGTTTTGCTGGAATAAGCAGGGACATCCCTGCGTATAGTATAATCCAGACGTCGTCTAGATTGCAGCATGTTGCTCCAAAAGCTGTATGTACCTTTCAGCATTCATGGTGCCTTCACAGATGTGCAGGTTACCCATGATGCCATGGGCACTAACACACCCCCATACCATCAGAGATGCTGGCTTTGAACTTTGAGCTGGTAACAATAGATGATCCTTTTCTTCTTTAGTCCAGAGGACACGACGTCCATGATGGACTCATCAGACCACAGCATACTTTTCCACTTTGAGTCAGTTCATCTCAGATGAGCTCAGGCCCAGTGAAGTCTGCAGTCTGGATGTTCATGATGCATGGCTTTGACTTAACCTGTGGGACTTTACAAACAGGTGTTTTCTGAGCATTCCGCAACTTTCCCAGTATTTTGTTGTGCCTGTCTCACCTTGAACATGTTGCAAACATCAACTTCAGAATAAGTGTATATTTACAAAAAACTAAAAAGTTTGAACATCAAATATCTTGTTTCTTTACTTTCGTTTGTTTCTTTGTTTTTACATTTAATACAGCGTCCCAACTTTTTGGAATTGGGGTTGTATTTCTGTCACTTACATTGTTTGCAGTAAGCATCACCTTCATCCCTGAGAATGGTATTGTTATTATCAGAGAAAATTATACATTAAATATATATATATATATATATAATAAATGTATATGTATATATAAACCCTTACAAGCTTATTTTGATTATCCTGAAACAATTGATTTTGAGTTTTAAGGAACAAGATGGCACTAAACTAGTGCCCCAGCAGGAACTGTTATTGAGGCACTATAGAGTCGGGCCTGTTTCCTTCTTTCTAAGCTCGTTTTGAGTAGAGAAAACAATGGCTTAGGTTTACCCTTAAATGCAATAATAAGCAGCTCCATACCCAGCATAACTTTATGTGTCATTAGGAATGCAGGGCTGCCAACTTGCAGGCATTGATTGTGAGACTCATGCAATTGATACTTTTTGCACTTTCTCATAAAGGTAAATATGTTGCAAAATTGAAGCTTGTAGACTTGATATGAGAACTTGGGGAACAAAATTTTGTGCTTGCATGTTTAAATTTTTATATGTATAAAATATTGACACACATCTGAGCTGAATTTAAAGTCACAGAAAACCTCCACCAACAAATATAGTGCACCCCATGGCCCATCCATATCATTCCCAGCCGCTAGGAGCAGACTTCACTGGGAGGAGAGCAGGTGGTAGCTCCAGAGATGGACCCACAGTTAACAACAATGGCAACTCAAATTCAGTCAGCTGAAATCCCTTGGGCTGGTGTTCTGATCCCAGCCAACCCGACTCCCCACTGGATCAGCAAACTTGGACCCAGTGCTGCCACTGGCCACCAGCCTGCTGTGACTTGTGGTCTAATAAACAGTGAATTCATCAAATTCGGTCCACAGTATAACTATTTTCCAAGCTACTGTAGCTGTTGTATTTCAGGAGACCTGCGTGAGCATGGTTTCCATGGGAACACAGCTGCTGAGGCTTTCGTCATATGGAAGTGTACATGGTGTCATCTAAAGTAGTGTGGAAAAACAAAACACAGGCAGCAGAGCAAAAGAGTGCTTTGTCTCCCGATTTCCGATTGGTTCACCTTGCTCTGCTCTCTCATTTCCACACCCACATGTACAAGGTTTGAAACACATTTATCCCAAGAACTGTCGCGAAAGGCAAGGTGTGCTTTGTGAGCACACATCTGTTAAGTTGCAGTGATTCGAGAGGCTGTAATCACCGTGTGGTACTAGTCCTTGAAAATAGACTCAAGTAAATATGAGGAAATGTCACTGTATTTATGTAAATATGACTTCACATTCAGAATACAGGTGTTAGAATATTTTCTGAGTGAAAATATAACATACAAGATAAAAAAATTTTACTTGTATAAGATACTCACTCACATGAGCTGAATTGGAAGTTACATATAAAAACAAAACATGAGAGCTCCTAGAGAAATTTAAACATACAGGTTCAGATTTTTGTTCAAGTTCTTACATCCTGCAACATACTTACCTTCATACTCTCACATCACACCTCTATTTTTTCCATGCAGAGAAAAACATCTATAACTGACAACTCTTCTACAAATGTATGATATGCTCATGAATATACAATATACAAATACACATGCATGTGTGCAAGACTGTACTTTCAGCGGGGGGGTATTACAGCAGGATAAAAAATTTTATCCATATGATTAGGGATATTTAAACCTGTAACAAGCTCAGCTGCTGCTGAAATCTGAAAAGAAAACAGATTCGTAAACATACAGATAAGTACGAGCTGCCTGCCACTTAGTTTGTGGGATTTTATGCAATGTAGTATTGTAATAGTAAAGTATGACAACAGCAGCTATTTCTGTCTCTGCATAAAGTGTTGTTTGTTTCATCTCTCAAGAAAACATTGGAGGCCCTATTTTAATGAACTTTGCAGCATGGCCAGATTGCAGTCAAGCGCACCCTACCAAGTGCTAAATGGTAATTTTGTGGCCAGGCACCCTTGGTGCACCTGTGGCGCGCTGGCGGACTGGGTGGGATCAGTCTAATCCTGAGAGAATTATATGCAAAGTCAGAGGTTTTAAGTGATTTATGGTATTTGATGGAACTGTGTGAAATGTGTCAGTATCCAACACTCCTGCTGATGTGCAGAACAAACTGTGTAGAATAACTAAAGAGAGAAATCAGTGTAAAGGAAAGGCCTTAATAACATCCAGCTGGAATTAATGCCATTAGCACTGGTTAAAAGACCATAATTACTTCATATTTTGCACACACATAAAACTGCCTAATATCCAAATAGTGAAAAAGAAAAAATAAGAAATGTGTCAGGAGAGGTCAAGAAGCCACAGGCTTATACAAACAAACCTCCCCTCAACTTTAGGAGAAAGCAATGACAGAGAAAAAAGTAGAGGGCAAAAAGTATGCAAAAGAAGTGAACTAACAGTATGCAGGAAGAATACAACAAAGGATAAATGACAACAGGAAGCATGCTGAGCAGTCAGTGAAAAATAATCAATAATAAATTATATGTATTACCAAAGACATTAATGTTTGTGTTCATGCAGCTTTAATGTTCAGTTACATTGTAACCTTGGTTCACTGAGTGAGGAGATTATCTCCCCATCCAATAGTTAAATCATAACTATGGGAATTATCCCCATCTGGGGTAATTGACATGGAAAATTAATAATCTTTAAGACACACCACTTTACGTGGCCGGCATGCGTCTGGCTATAAAAGCCCCTCCTTGTGCATGCACCCACTGATTAACATTGATTGGAATGGGTACCAAGCTGCCTTGAACCTGGGGAGGTGATCTCACTCAGAGAACCAAGGTTACACTATAAAAGAACATTCTCTATTGTATCGAGATTATCTCCCCACGAACCGTTTAAGACACAAAATCACGTAGGAAAAAGCAAGCACTCTCAAAAACTAAATAAACTCGCAAGGTGCACGGCCAAAAACAGTTAAAAATTTTGAGAGTGCTGGCGTTTTTCCCTTTTTTAATCCTTTAAGACACACCACGTGGGGCCCCAGGAGACAGAGCAGATGCAGGTCCATAAGCGCCCCCCCAGTAATCAAATGAGAAGTCCCCACCACCAGGTACATTAACAACAGAAAATACCCAATAGTTATGTATATATGAAAAAAACTCTAATGAACTATAAACAAATGTACAACATCTTGTGCATTCAATGGTCTGTGAACCCGCCAAATACTGTGTGCCACTGTACCGATGCCTAGACACCAGACACAACCATAAGGGCGCAGGGGTTGGGTGCAGGAAAACCGTTCAGTTGGCCAGCATGCTGCCAGGCCACTGACAATAATATACGACATCACCCTGGCTGGCTAAGGCCCCAGCTCAGGGGCATGGAAGAACATGGCCTATTGTCTGGTGGCACTCAGCACACACTCTGCAAAGGAGGTGCCAGTGGCCACATTCAGGCAGTAAAATCTGACAAATGTGGATGGACTTGACCATGGATTTGACCATACAGCAGCTGCACGGACCTCCGAGAGGTCCACAAGGCCCGCGAGGTAGCTACACCTCATGTTGAGTGTGCCCGCACACCCACTGGTACTGGCATGCCAGCCCCTCTGAAGCCTGCCAAATTGTCTCCACAACCCAATGAGACAGCCGAGCCTTCGACACCGGCTGGCCCTGGCGCTGGGCCCTACAGCAGACAAAGAGTTGGTCTGTCTTTCTAAACACTGCAGTGCGCCGGACATAGACCTTCAGGGCTCTAACAGGACAGAGATTTGAGTCTTTTTGGCCCTCACTACCCTCCTTGGAGGGGTTGTAGGGTCGCAATTCCACCGACTGAATCAAATGAAAGTCTCTGAGTACTTTTGGCAGGAATGCAGGGTTTGTACGCGATATAACACCAGCGTCATCGTGCAAGAAATGACAACAGACATCCACTAACAGAGCATGCAGTTCCCCTGCTCTTTTGGCTGATGTCACTGCCAGGAGAAAAAACACTTAATGCTGACTGACTCTAGAGGCTCGAAAGGTTCCTGCTGCAGGGCAGCTAACACCTGACCCAGGTCCTACGGTTGAATGGCCAGCCTCCTGGTGCGTGGTGCAAGCCGCTGCACACCCTTCAGTAACTGAGAGATGAGGCTGCAGTCACCATCTGCAAGCCTATAATCTCCTGTATGAGCAGCCTTGATAGCTGCCACCATGCCTCTAAGGGTTGAAGGTGATTTTCCCGCCTCAAGCAGCCCCTGCAGGTACTGGAGCGCCTCTGGGGCTGCACATGTCAGTGCATTGATCTGGTTAGTTGTGCATCATGATGCAAAGAGCTACCAGCGGTGAGAGTATGCAGCCCTCGTAAACAGTGCCCGAGCACTGGTCTGAATCACTGACTGCGCAAGTCCCAAGCCTAGCAGACCGGCTCTCTCAGGGGCCAGGCCCAAAGTTTGAGCCCCTGTGGAAAGGGATGGAGCAGGGCCCCCTAGGCCTGACTCGTCAGACGGGGAGCTCCCATGGCCTCCCGGCCAGGAGAGGCCCCACCTCCAAGAACCATGTCATGTGGGGCCAGTTCAGGGCCACTAGGATCAGCTGAACGTCCTCCTTCTGAACTCTCTGTAGCAGGTTTGGGAGGAGAGTGAATGGGGGAAATGCATACAGCAGGCCTTGAGGCCACTGATGTGCCATGGCATCGACGCCCAGGGGGGGAAGAGTCCCACCCCATGGAAAACAACAGTGGGCAATGGGCATTGTCTCTGGTTGAGAACAGGTCGGCCACTGCTCTGCCACTGCTCTGCCGAAGCAGTGCCAGATCTCCCCGACCACCTCCGGGTGCAGCCTCCAGTCCCCTGTACTTGGGCCTCCCCTGGAGAGTAGGTCCACCCCCTGGTTCACCAATCCAGGCACGTGGATGGCCCTGATTGTGTTGGAATTGTCGGAATTGTGTCCATGCCCAGGTCCACAGCCTGTGTGCTATTCTGCAGAGGTTTGGGGAGCCCAGGCCCCCTTGCGTGTTGACATATGCTGCTGCCATTGTGCTGTTGGGTCTTACCAGCACATGACAGCCTTGCAGGCTTGAGAGAAAATGCTGGAGGGCCAGGTGAATGACTCTCAATTCTGGAGCACTGATATGCTAGCCCTTCCAGTGGGCACTCCCGACCCCACTGGTGCCCCTGCCCTCATGGAGTGCGCCCCACGCCTTCAGGGATGCATCCATAGAGAGCACCTGGCAACACAGTACTGGACCACGCATACTCCCCCTCGAGATGTTGGCTGGATCCTTCCACCACCTGAGGTCCGCACAAAGCTGCACGGTGATGAGCTCTTCTGCCTGCAGCTGTCTCTGTGGACAGAGCCCCAGGCTGAAGAGATGCCTCTGGACGCATGTGCAGAAGCGACAATGGCACCACTTGTACCGAGGCTGCCAGAAGACCCAAGAGACGGGGACACAGCCGCCATGTGGCCCTGGCACCCAGCCGAAAATGAGAGAGGCAGATCCTGATTGAAACCTGCCTCTCCTGTGACAGCATCACCAACCCAGCTCTGGCATCCAGCCACATGCCTAGAAACTGGGTGGCCTGTGCAGACTGGAGACTGCACTTTTTCTCGTTGATGCGCAGCCCCAGACCCTGAATGTGATCCAACAGGCCACCGCGGGCCCCAAGACCACATCCATGCACCTGGTGAAGGTGTGGGCTGCCAGTGAGATGTCGGGGAGGGACACAGAATTCAAAGGTTTTTCCTTGAAGGCAAACCTGAGAAACCTCCTGTGCCCCTCCCAGATTGGGATTTGAAAATAGGCATCCAATGGTTGCACACCAGTCACCTACCCAGACAGCCTGCTTGACCCTGGACACAGTCAACATTTTGCACTTCAGAGGTCTGAGGAACTTGTTCAGCCACCTGAGGTCTAATACAGGCCTGAGTGTCCTGTCCCACTTCAGAACAAGAAAATAGCGAGAAAAAAACCCTGCCTGCTGATCTTCTTTCTTCACTTCCCTGATAGCTGACTTCACCATGAGAGTGTAGATTTCCGGGCGCAAGACCTCCCTGTACTGGTGGTCTGCAATAATGGAAAATGCAGCCACCCTTGTCAAAGGAAGAGTGCTTCAGAACTGTAAACGATACCCCTGGGTCATTGTTGAAACAACCCAGGGGTCTGCCCCCAGAGCCTCCCATGCTGTCTGAGGGCAAGGGAAGGCTGGGGGTGATGTTGCATCAGCACACCTCCTTAGCATAGTGAGGGGCTTCTTGGCCCTGCTGAATCATCATGGATGCATCAAGCCCAAACAAGGCAGATGGCTCAACAGGCAGTTTGAGCAGACACGCCCTATCCTCTGGCTGCAGCATGGAATGTGACAGCCAGAGATGGCACCTGGCCACCCAAAAACTTGCCATAGCACTGCCAGCAGTTTCATCGTGCTCTCTCATGAGCTTTGGAAGTAAGGAGACATGTTGTAGTCTGACTATTAGATCCGCACTACACTCCTCCAGCTGGCCAGCCAGATGGCGCTGGTACAGGGACAGTATGGCACCCATGTGTGCCAGCTGTGTCTGGCCTGCCATGTTCTCCATGCATTTTTCCCAACAAGCTATCCATTACCTTGCAGTTTCTAATCGGGCAGTTCGCCACCAAGGCAGCCAAAGCCTGATCCATGGGGGGCAATGGCCCACAGCCTATCCTCCCCGATTGTCAACCGCAGACATACGACGACAGAGCCAGCCCTGCTGTTGGTGTTGTAAACCGACTCCTGACCACCTCCTCGAAATCAGAAAGGAGAAGCACAAGGAACTGTGTGGGTCACCCCCCTGTTTCATCATTGAAACGGTAAGGGGCAGGACCCTCACCAGCTGGCAGGTCAAGCCCCAGAGCCAAAGCAGCCCAGCCAATAATTTCCTGAAGGAGAGGTGACGGCTGGTTATTCTCCTCTACAGGCACCTGCTGCCCCTCTGAGGCCAACCCATCTCTCTAAGGACCCAAGTCCAAGAATGTCTATCTCCTCCTCTGACCCAGGGGAGGAGGGGCTCCTATCCAACCCAGCAGAAGGCCCAGGAGCAGGGAAGATCCTGTGTGACATAGTCCATAGAGAACAGCATGTACTAGCTGAGGAATCCATTTCATCCAATAGAAACTGTCAAACAGAAATTATTGAAAAGCACTATAATCTACCAAACAGAATTCAGCAAGTTAACATACAAACAGGTTGGAATTAAGAAAGTGAGGCTCATTTAGGCTATGATGTGGAGGTCTGAGAGTATGCTGCTCAAGTATAACATATTGATTATTGACCATGATTATTGACTTAATGCTTTAAAACTGTGAATTTGGTTGCTGAAATTTGTTGAGGAGTGATGACCCCAACTCCAGGGCTGGGTAATGTCACAGAAGCCCTGCTCATGAAATGCACTGACCAATACTGAGTCTCACTTATATCCTTATAAACAAAGATGTCGCTAAAGCAGGAATTGTTTAACATCAGTATATAATAAAAGAACAATGATCCCAGCATGTTCCCCTGGGGGATTGCAGACTAGAAAGCCGTAAGTGCCCCGACACACCAAGCTGATTGGTCTGCCATTGGTCAATGTTGGGCCGTCAGTGAGTGTCTGTCACTGTAGTTTTATGTGGTGTGTCCTGCAACATTGGCACGTGTTGGCTAGCTTTTTTCCCAAGCTGTGGGATGTGGAATCAGCATCAGGGATGGCAGAGCCTGTCAGGGAGAGAAATCATTCTGATTGGCTGTTCAGCTCAGCGCACAAGAATAGAGACAAAAGTGAGAAAAGCAAACAAACAACTAAAGTCAAGAGGGTGTTAGATCAAATCAAACTTGTTGCAGAAATTGTTGGTAAGTGTTTGCATTATTGTTCACTAGCACATGGTAAATATCATTCTGTAATGGGCTAACTGGTTAAAGCGTCTTGAATCCGTTCTGTTGGTCTTCTGGTTTCCTTTTTGAATGACGAATACAGACTACCACTGCCTGCTGGTATGGACAGTTATTTCATCTCATGCAGGCACAGAACATACATGCTGGTGGGCTGTTGGCTGTAGTCTCTGTGATGTGTTCAAGTGTAATTTTATTTTTATTCAGTGAATTTTTGTCTTTTAGCAGGTGGTAGAAACTCGCTGTAAGAAAGTTTGTACCTCCAAGTCGGACCTTCGCTCCAATGACTTCAGCATCGTGGGATCTTTACCTCGAGACTTTGAACTTTCCAACTTTGACTGTTATGGAAAACCAGTTGAAGTGTCTGGGGCCCTCAAATCCCAGAACAAAGCCAACAAGAAACCCCCACCACCCAAACCCGTCATACCTGCTGCTGCCAAACGCATTGACCTCTATGCAAGAGCCCTCTTCCCCTTCTCCTTCCTTTTCTTCAATGTGGTTTACTGGTCTGTCTATCTGTGAGGGGGAGAAGAGGAGAACAGAATGAAAAGAAAGTGGTTTGTATCTTGTAGTTGAGACTACAGGATACCACATTGACACTGCATTGAACTTACAAATGACATAGCAAATTCATATGCTGAACTATATACTGTTAAAAGCAAGAATCGCAACATTTCAGAGCCATGTTTGCAGAGCTGCAGAGACCTCTGTGGTCCCTGAGAGTTACTGCAAATCACCAGAACTACAAAACCTCGAGGCTGCTGGTTTGAGTCCCCTTTAAATCCAGGCATTAAGTAGGCACTGCATGTGTGTCTCAGTCTGATACAGGACATTGTGTTTCATGTAAACTAAACCCTGCTGTGGTGACATCAATACACCTACGCTGTGCATTAGTAATACATGCTTTTCACTGAGGGTAGGATTACTGGTTACACTTTATTCAAAGTTATAGAACTCCAAATTGGCAAATAATAACTAAATATGGCATTAGAAAATAAGAATATACAAAGTATAAATGAATAAATATATTGTCAAATAATTAAATAAATAATTACAAAAACAAACACGTCTTTGTTATTTCATCATCACAACATTTTAATTGGAGTGCCTTTTAATACACATAAACTACAGAACCTATTTTATTGCAAGTAAAATAAATTTCTGATTAAAAATATTAAATCTGAAACCGCTGCTTGCAAATCCAAAGTTGTTTTTACAAATCCAAAGTTTTTTGGTCAAATCCAAAAGTTTTTCTTGTTGAAATGAATCTGGTGGACGGAACCTGTGCTGAAGGATTAAATACACCTCTCCATTGTCCAGTCTCAATAGCAGTGACAGCTTAACAACATCCACTTTTACTAAATAACAGATTTGCCCATGGGGTTTTGAAGCCCACGGAGAAGACAGACCAGGAGTGAAGAGGACAAGTATGCAGGTATGTTTACACGTAACACTACATGCATGTTTTGCTGAAGTGTTATGATTTAAAACATGTCAGTACTAACAGTCTCATATACGGCAGAGTAGTGTACATGGGTACACTCAAGGTGTGTTACCAGTGGTATAGTGGAGGGCATACACAGGGTATACCCACCTCTTTTGTGGCTGTTTACAGTATACCCACCTTTTGCCAAAGCACCTCTGGAATAAATACTATACCCACTTCCTAATGGGTAACCTACCATTCCCTTCAGGATTTAGCAGGCTAATTTTGTTTTTTTTTTGCAGCCCAAAATGCCTGATGTCACTGCTTTTTTTTTTTTTTTTAAAAAGTGATTGCACTGACAGCTGATCACCGATGATCAGCTAATGCTGCTTTTTGAAGCAGTGGTGAAGGACAGCCTCTGTGAGCTGGTCTCTCTGCCCGGTTAGCATGAGCTAACACAGCAGCAGCAGTTAACATCCAACACCAAGCCATTAAATGGTCCCAGCAATCTCACACAGAAAAAAACAACAACAGAAAAACAGCTTGACTCTGTCATGAAACCCATTAATAAATGTTTGGTAACCTTAGCCTTGTGACGCTAACAAATAGCCATTTCACTATGTGTGTGTGACTTTTTCCCAGGCACTGAGCTCACACTCCAGCAGCAGTGGTCTCGTAATAAACAGAGTGAGAGAGGGGTAAGGAGGGGCTGAGTGAATCAATATGCTGCGCGCAGCTTTACAGTGAAATGAGATTTTACCCATTTTAAATAATTAACTTTGTGGTAAAGTTGCAGTGACTGGACAAAATTGCAAGGTTGTTCAGAATACATGGGGACTGGCTGAATTTATGTTAATTTTTGCAAGAGCAACATCCTGAATAGACTGTGAAACATTCTTGTGAAAATGCATGTGTTTGTGAAGTGCTGAGCATAAGACTGGATAAATTAGACTTGAATTATACTGCACCAGTTGTGTGACAGTTTCTGAACAGATGTTTTGATGCAGTTTAGCTGTTGTTAAGCTTGGTTGGCAATGACTTCAATTCATAAAGAATGTTTGCCTTTGTCAATTCTTCGTTCACAGTGGAGGCATGCCAGAAAAACAAAGTTTTCTTCACAAATTTGATGTAACATGTAGTGAGTGTTTGATGTACATATTGTTATGTATTTACATTTAAAGCTACAGTTGGTAACTCTTATACAAAATATTTGTTTTCAAATTTGCTAAAGGTCTCACTATATCCACACAACACCAAATGAGACAGATAACTCATGAAAAAATTCATACTCGTCTGCCTACTCTATTGCCTTGTAGCATTTCTCATAGCCTTGCCGTCCATGGACGAAAACAACCAGTCAGAGCTGAGGAGTCTCTAACGCAGTTGTCAGTCATGTCAGTCGTGGGACCTCTGTCAAACTGTCAACCTAGGCAGCACTGATCAAATATGAATCAAGATTCTGTTACTACATTTTCTATTTCTCACCTCAAATGTTTTCAGAAACTAGAATATGTCAGTGTACTGTTTAGCAATAAAATGAGAAAGTTTGTGACACTGCTGCCATGTTGGATACAGTTAAAGGGAGTGCCAAGCACTGCCCACCAGCTGGACCAACTTAGCAAATGCTAGTAGAGGCAGCAGAAGAAGTAGAAGAGGAGGGACATGATTTTTGTTTGTTTGTTTGTTTTTATCACAGACTGACTGTCTCATGTACTTCTTTCAAAATATAGTGACAGTTTCAGCAAATATGACACAAAGCTAATTTCATAAAAGTTACCAACTAACTTTAATGCTGCTTAAAACTTCTATTGCATGTGTGTCACTTTTCTCAGGAAAAAAACATGATATGTCTATATGATATGATGTACTGTGCTATTAATCTACTCAGTGGTATACAAAGTATCGAAAATTGGGTCCACTTTGATGAACTGCTAATTCAGGACTTTTACTTGTTATGGAGTATTTTTAAACTTTGGTTTTTGTATTTTTGCTATAGTGCTTAACTTCTACAGGTCCGTAAATGTCCGTTTCACCCAAGCCACTACTAAAGGAGATGACACAATGCTGATTAAGCCGATCGGCTCCTCTAACATCTCGCGGTATTTTTCAATATATATCATTTTTAGTATGCGTGTAGACCGGCGACATTCCCGCGCTGGCACACAGGAAATGCTTCCTCACAACAAGAAGGGAGGGGGAGGAAGAGCGGAGAGGTAAAGCACAGGCAGAAAGAGAAAGCAACATGGCGGAGAAGCGGCCGAGACACGGTTCAGAAGTGGATCCTACCACAAAGGCAAGTGTTACTCTGTGTACGGTGTGTGGCGACTGGCGAGTGTTACTCTGTGTACATGGAAGTGCCGCCGGCTTATTAGTTGTAATAACGCATTATCCGCTGGGAGGCGACAGAAGTTACGCACTATAGCTTTATGTAAAAAATTTGAGGACATTATGTGCGAATTTGAGGATTTTATGTGTGCCTGTGGACACACATAAAGTCATGGGTTCCAAGTAGCAAAAAGTAACTGATATAAATATAGGGGATAAAAATGCATCTGAATATAAAAATAGTGCAGTGAACATGGATGTGAAATGACAGTGGAGTAATAAATTATCAAGTGATTTAATTGAAGCCAATTTGATTAAAATATTTGTGATATGGTAACAACAGAACCATGTTTCATCATTTCCCCATATTACATTCGTCATTAATTATTCTCAACAAAAAATGCCATTTATCATTTAAAGGAAGTGGTTTCAAAGGTGGAAATAACAAAGAATTTTTACAAAAATGGAAGTGATGATAATGCTTATGAATTAGTTTTTCTCAATCGATTACACACTGGGTCTTTTAACCAAACATCCCAAATCATAACTCCATCTGCCAAAAGGCCCATTTCCCCAAACTATAAACACTATTCACCTGTTTCCACATATTTCATATTCAAAACTCTTTCTGCAAAACCTTACAAAATACAACACCTTTCTCTGAGTGCAGCACTAAGCCTCAAAATTGTTAACACACCGACCAATTGCAGAGGTTAATAAATCAGGCCTCAAGGCATCTCCATGTGCTTTTGAACAATGGATCCTAACAATGCACAATATGAAAGACAACAGAAAGGACGAGGAAGACAACAACAAAAGCAAAGACAAGTAACCTCAGATATACTGTAACTGTGTGCTACTGTAGTTCATCATGTGCTCATACTAAGGAGGACTGTGAGAGAAGCTGGACTGCCAGTAAACCCAACCTAAGCTGTTACAAGGTTGCATCCATTGTCTGAATTAAAGTTATTAATGCGATAGATGTAATGTATGTAGAATGAATCTCCACTCTCAATTTAGTTTTACCATAGTGATGGATAAATAATGATAATAATAATGAGCAGTGGATAAAAAGTGAGCATATGTAGTGCAAAGTGAATATTGTATGTGCAAATAGACAACAAGGGGGGCAACAATGCTTATAGTGGTGTTTATAAAGTGTCCATAATGTCCTTAAAGTGTCCATGGTGCAGTTTACTATGAGCAGTGCTGGTTATGTAGCCTGACAGCAGCAGGCAGGAAGGACCTGCGATAGCGTTCCTTCACACACTTTGGGTGAATCAGTCTATCGCTGAAGGAGCTCTCCAGAGCTTTTATCTCCTCCTGCAGAGGATGGGAGTCGTTAGTCCTCAGAGATGACAGCTTGGCTATCATCCTCCTGTCTCCCACCACCTGCACAGAGTCCAGAGAGCATCCCAGGACAGAGCTGGCCTTCTTAGCTTGTCCAGTCTCTTCCTATCTGCAGCCGAGATGCTGCTGCCCCAGCAGACCACTCCATAAAAGATGGCTGATGCCACCACAGTGTCAAAGAAGGTCTTCAGGAGCGCCCCCTGCACTCCAAAAGACCTGAGCCGCCACAGCAGGTAGAGTCTGCTTTGGCCTTTCCTGTATAGTGCTGTTATGTGATCAGTCCAGTCCAGTTTATTGTTAAGATGAACACCCAGGTACTTATAAGATGTCACCATCTCAATGTCTTTTCCCTGGATGTTCACCGGTGTTGGGGGGAGGAGTCTGATGTCTGGGCCAGGGGAGGGGCAGACTGATCAAATCTATTGAAGAACATTTTCAGATCATTCACTCACTTCTGGTCGCCTCTGGCCTGGGAGTCCGGTTGTTTGTGTCCTGAGATGGTTTTCAGACCTCTCCAGACTGCGCTGACGTCACTCTGCTGCAGCTGTTCCTCCATCTTCTTTTTATATCCTTCCTTTCGCTGCCTGATGTTTCTCCGTAGCTCCTTCTGCATGGCCTTCAGCTCCTCCCTAGTTCCAGAGTTAAAAGCTCTCTGCTTCTCCTTCAGGAGAGCTTTTTAACAGAGTGGAGAATGTCACAAGCAGACAAGCACAACAAATATTGTTAAGGAACAATATTTTACTTTGTATGGACTCTTCCTTACATGTTTTGTCAGTGTGACATCACAAAGGTCAGCAGCATACAGAAGTATTCCCCTATCCACTGTAAGAAGTATACAGTATAATACAGTACTGTTTTGAAATTCTCTCACAGGGCTGTTTCTCAAAGTTCCAAATTATTCCTCTGAATGGAGTACAAAAGAACTTAAGCTGACAAAGATATTTATGTACCAGTTCATTCTTCAGGGCTCAGAGCCCACACACAGTCTTTGGGTTCAAGAGCCAGGGAGTGGGCCGGGCCGAACAATTCAGTTGGCCAACAGGCAGAGGTAACAAAGAGGGGCTTACTGATGATGTGGTTTGAGAAGGGAAGGGGTCTGGAACCAGTAAAGCAGTCCAGTGAAGCAGCAGAGCCAACGAGGGATGAGCAGCAGGGAAGTAGAGACCAGGTGATGGATCGAGGAGCCGAGAGGTAGGCGAAAGGAGGACACACACACAAGGCAGTGTGTGGTGTCTCACAGATAGTCTCTGACAAGCAGGTGGGAACACTCACACTGAAACATCGCAGGAAAACACCACACAGCCACAGGCAAACAGAAACCAGAGATGCTGAGGCAGAACCCGTGGTCAGGGAAAGAAGCCTGGTGAGTATACCAGGAAACAGACGACGTAGACAGGTCAGAGGCAAGCAGGGTCGATAACAGGAGATCAGGCAGGTAAGGAGTGCTGGAAAGTCTTGCATGAGGTTGAAGAATAATCTGGCCCTGAGGGAAAGGCAGCAGCTGCTTAAATGCAGGGAGTGCTGATGAGAAGCAGCTGTGTGCACAGGTGAGTGGAGTTGTCTTGATGAGGGGGCTGTGGCTGGCAGGGAGAGTGGAAAAAACACAGGGAGAGCAGGGGAGCAGAATGCAGGCTGTGACAAGTCTAAACATTTTGGTTGCAGTGTTTTGAATTGATCCCTCCAGTGTGTAACAAGCACTCATGTAGTCTGTGCCTCTGACAGCTTGTGTATCATCTGCGGGTAAGATTTGATTTAAATGTAAGATGTAAGATCACATCTGGTTAGGGTTCCAGCCCCTATTGTTTTTGCTTTGACTCCTTTTTTTCCCTTCAGAAATGTTTTCACAAATTCCCGTGAGATGGTACATTGTAGACACATGAAATTTTCACCATTGATTGGAAGTTGTATGCAAATGCAGCTCAAGAAATATGACGCAAATTGGCCACATGGGCGTGCTAAAATTAAGGCCTAAAAATTCTGTTTTTGAAAGGCCACACTCCTCACACCGTAAGTCCGACTGACTTGAAATTTGACCTATCAGTGCAGCTCAATGTGCTCTAAGAAAAACACACAAGAAACATAAGGGATCACAGTAAAAAATTTCCGCCATTCTTAATTTTTTGAAAAACAGATTTGTGACAGATTCATAAAATTTTTTTCCATGGATGATCATTGGACCAAGATTATGAAAAGGTATCAAATGCTTGTTCATATCTCATTGCGTTTTCAATATATTGACCAATGAACTTTAGAGAGGGCGTGGCTTAGCACAAAAATGGACCTTACTCCAAAACCATTGAACCAATCATCACAAAACTTGTAGGATACATCTACATAAGTACCAGAATCACACTCTGAAAGTTTAATTCAAAGTGACCACTAGGGGCCCTACAAATGCAAAAAGTTTAAGTCATAATCAGCTACAGAGATTTGTATGAAATTCAATTTGCACCCTCTAGGGTGATGCATAAAATGGAAATGATTGCTTTAAAAGGGCATGGCTTATTACAATATGCTTATGCAATACACTTGCAATATGTTGTTCCTGCCTGCATCTTATACCTGCTATCATGTGCTGCGGATATATATATATATATATATATATATATATATATATATATATAAATGTATACAAATGTATATATATGTGTGTGTGTGTGTGTGTGAAGGCACATCATTTGCTACAAACTTAGGAAAAAAAAAAGGAAATGGAGGGCAGGGCATGAATAGCAAATGGCACCAGTGTTGTACTTTTGAGGTGGCAATGTGAATCACTCTTAAGGGTCCCCCATCCAGTGGACCTCAGTGCAACCACACTGCCTGCGCTGTCTATATTTATGCTCCCGACTGTATGAACCAACTGTGGATAGGTGCCTCATACAACCCCACTTCAAAAATGGATTTAGGATAAAAATACAATGACAAAAAAATCAATAATAAAACTAAATGATCTGATGACAAGTTTGGGGGGGGACACAATCAGTTGTGATTTTTTTTTTTAATTGCACGTGTGCAAATCATGCCCACAGAGCGCTTGAGATTGCCAACTTATTTCACGATTTAATAGAGGCTCATCACCATCACCAAGTCATTCAAAAAGCACTACACAGAGAATCATATGCTTACCTTTACTGTTTATTTCTCTTAAACAGTTTATAGTACATGGAGCCAGCCATCACCCTCCTTTTCACTGCTTTGCTGTTAGTTAATGCTACTTCTAGTTTCAGGGTCTCAGGCATGTTATGTCCACTCACGTTCTCATCTCTCGCCTCTCACAGATTCCCATTTCTCCTCATCATCTTTCCTTTCTCCCAGTATATGGGACTACTGTATACATCAGTGGATATGGATGATTATCAGAATATGAGCTTGGTTAAACTAACTGATCATGTTTTTACAGAGCCTGAAATGCTAGTATTAGTACAGTTCTAAGAGCACAATAAATACTTACAAGTTACACAAGTTGACCCAACAAAATCATTCATTCATCTTCTAACCGCTTCATCCTCTTGAGGGTCGCGGGGGGTCTTGAGCCTATCCCAGCTGACATCGGGCGAGAGGCAGGGTACACCCTGGACAGGTCGCCAGACTATCGCAGGGCTGACACATAGAGACAAACAACCATTCACGTTCACATTCACACCTACGGACAATTTAGAGTCATCAGTTAACCTAGTCCCCAATCTGCATGTCTTTGGACTGTGGGAGGAAGCCGGAGTGCCCGGAGAGAACCCACGCTGACACGGGGAGAACATGCACAGAAGGGCTCCCATGCCCGGGATCGAATCGGCAACCCTCTTGCTGTGAGGCGAGAGTGCTAACCACCACACCACCGTGCCGCCCCCAACAAAATCAGATTTATTTAAATAAATTCATATCCATTCATTAATCATCTTTATAGGAATAAATATCCCAATAACAAAATATGCTTATTTTGCCCTTATCACATCACATTTTTGATAATGTCCATTATCCCCCCCCCCCCATTCTTTACGTGAAACCTTTATTTTAATGTTGTAGGTAGTGTAACTAATGTTTTTTGCTTGGAAATGAAAAAACAGTGTAAAGGGAAGCTAGTTGTGTAGGCTACGTTATTATTGGACTACAGGGGTTTTTGTAGGCTGTGCGCATATGTCAAAGCCTACTGTTTTATTATTCTTATTTGCTGCTATGAACCATGCCACTGTGTGCCACCTAAGAGACCAAACAGAGACTTCGCTGGCAGCCTATTCAGAGACCTGTTCTGTGACATCAGGTGAGATCAATATAAAATCTGATACAGAATAGACTGTGCTAATCTGTGCATCTGTCATCCCTGCGCTGATGTTTACTGTAGGCCTGCTGCCAGGTTACTAGAGCCTCGTCTTGGTCTCATAAACGCAGTTTTACGTTTAGCTGTCGGCTGCTCTCGGTTCCTTCTCGTGCCTCATCGGTATTCCTGGGCAATCCTCGGCGCGGCGCGCGCCCCCAGTCCAGCAGCAGCAGCAGCAGCAGCAGCGGCGGCGGCACGCGCATCTCAGGACAGAGGATAGGGCATCTGCAGAGCTCGAGACGCTTCTGAGCGGACCTGGAATGACGCCATGAGCTCGCACCGTGTGTGATGGAGGTAATGTTTTGGTAGGAACCGCTACCGTAGGCTGATGTGGCGTCGCGTGAGGAGCCTGAACACGACCATGAAGCTGCTGTTTGTGGTGACATTCTTATGGCGCGAGGCGTTGTGCGGATCTCCGAGCGTCCAGATCGGTAGGATTGTCTTTTCTGTCATCGCCCCTCATCCTTACCACTCCCGTTCATTCGTCTGTCCAAATCATTCCCACTGTTGGCTTTTCTCCTTCGCACATCCATCGTCCCCCGTGTCTTCCTCCTACAGAGGAGGGCCTCTCTGTTTCTGCCCACCTTGTGCTGCTCTCAGTGAGGAGAGGCCTCCTGGCTGTACGGCGGCCGCTGCAGTGTTCTAATTATGTCAACATTTTCATCTTTTATATTTGTGTATGGGCTTAGATGCGCGTGCATCCTACCACCAGTGCAGCGTGTGGTGCATGTGTTCGCGCACGCGTATGTGCACGTTTGTTTGTCTTCAAGGCGTTAACTGACACATGGCAGGTAAATCCAAAATAAGCCAAATCCAGCACTTCAGATGTAGGCTATTTCATGAGCTCCGTTCCGTGTTGGACCGCAGCTGCAGGTAGGGGAGAGTGGGGTCAAATGAGCCAGTGGGTAAGTTGACCCATCCCCTGTTTCTAGGCAACTGTGCACATTTGTTGTCATGTGACTGTAAATTCAGGAAGCACTCATCAGATGGCTGTGATGGTGAGAAACAATTGGGATTATTATAAGTATTTATTTACACACACACACACACACACACACACACACACAACACACACACACACACAGAAATTTTTGGCTTGTCAGAGTAAATTTTCTGCATGTCAGGTGAAGGGACTGTTACATCAAAGCAAATTTAACCAGGTCTAAAAATCCATGTTGGTGATTTGCCAGCGTATAACACCATGTGAATCATTTAGCCAAAGATAAGCCTGAGTTGCTAAACTGGGCATTTTTTTCCAAAATGGTGGCTATGGGGCAGAGTGAGTCAAATGCTGTGGCATAAATTGAGCCACTCCTGCTCCTCCTGGCACCGGATGTCAATATGATGTCAGAAAGACTTTTGACTGTAATGTCGGACAGACTTTAAATATTGGCTGCAGTCAAAATCAGGTTGACTCAACATGGTTTTTCTTATTTTGCACAATGAATGAATATTGCATACATTGAAAAGTCTCCATCTGCTGGTGGGCCATCACAATATGAGTATGCATGCATAATATGATGTTAATTGCACTACAGAAAAGAGTTGGTATTCACTCAAATTAAGTGGGGATTAAAGTGGATATATTGATATTGATATTGGTTATCAGCCAAATAAGTTGATATATATTGGTATATTGGAAACCAGCAGAAAATCCAATATTGTGCATTCCTAAGGTTGATGATATTTTAAATGTCTAACTACATTAGAATTTCATGCTGTGTGGATGTTAGCATTATGAACATAAATGTTGGACGTCTCCATAACTTATGACTAAATGTCATTATTCTACTTCAGAATGACATTGGCATGAGACATTTTGAAGATGTTGGATTTTGGTTACTTAACAACACAAAACCCACAAAATATCAGTGTCATCTGTCGACAGTATTCTCCTTGAAATTAACGGCATTAGACATTGCCCTGACATAGAATTTTGGTCACCTGATGTCACAAATGAAATTCAACAAAAATGGGCAACTGGGGTGGTTCAACTTACCCTACCATAAGGTACTGAAGTTGATTAAGTCTGGGAAGCATAACATGGTATTTTAACAGGTTTATCACATGTTAAATATTGTAGAAAAGCTATCAGGCCAAGGACCTACAAGAGAAGAACCAACTGGGGCTCAACACCCTGGTAGAAAGTGAGAGAGCAGCCTTTGATGTCAAGGGTGAAAAATCAGATCGGTGGCGAAAGACAGAAATATTTATAGATCGCCCCTGCAGAGGTGCATAGAAAAATAAGGAAGTGAAAACATTAGGGTACAGTGGAACAGTGGGAGGGGTCTTCACAGAGAAGGTACCAGGGTTTCCACCAGTGTATTGCCCGTTGACCCTCCCCCTTAAAATGTATTTTTAAGATGTTTTTTAAAGTAGTAGAGTTGCCGAAAGAAAAACACCCCGTTAATGTTACAAAGACACTGACTGCACATTAGTGATGTGACAATACTGGACTTTCTAACTTCAGTACCTTGGAAAATATCAATATGTGATACTGTTTTCAGTACCATGAGGAAAAATGGACTTTGAGGGCATACAGTTAAAAATGTTTATTTTAAAACCAATATAACAAGGCATGACATGACAATGATAACTTTTCTTTTCTTGGTTAGTAGCAGACAACAGCAGAGTGACTGTAGTACACATTAACAATAAGAGAGAATAGTAAAGCTCAGCTGGTTCCGGTGTACTCATACTGCAGAAAAGGAGTATAAAACCATTTCAAATATTCAAAATCTATATGTATTGATAAATTGATATTGTTGACATAACTCCTGCGCACACACACAATTACACACAAACAGGGGTGTGGGGAGAAGGGGGACATGTCCCCCGCCCTTTTTCAGAATGCAATATTGGACCATTTTTTAAATTGTTGTCAGTGGCGATCCAAAATGAAAATCTGCTACATGTTTTTTTTTGCTTGTAATGTGATAGACAATATTCATTAATGATATATATATATTTTTTTTTTTTTAACAAAAATAACCTCACACAGTACATTAAAACCCTAAATAACCTCAAACAGGCTAAAAGAACTACTTTTTAGTAGAAACTTTCAATCAGAAATTTTATTTAATCATGACAGATTCAAGAAATTTTTTTTAAACATTTGTTGGAAAAGTCAGTCAACAAAATGTGGGACACATGGCCATACAATGGGAGGTTCAATATGGAGCGGAGAGAACAAAAAATAATTTGCCAATCTATTAACAATCTGTTAACAGTAAATCTAATTTTTGACATTTCTCCTCACTACACCACTAACTTTGATTTTAATGCTAGCTGAATACAACACGATTGTCACACACATGCACAAGGAGGAGACAGTGACAACATCATGAGTTTTACAAGCAGCTATATTTCTAAAATACGTGGAAAATCAGCGGGCGCGCATCATGTACAAGCCCCATCCAAAAGCTAATGTTATATTTTAAAAAAAATAATAACAAAAAACAAACAAATCCAACAAACAAACAAACAAAAAAATAGAAACTGCACATACTGGGACCACGCAGAAGAGCTCTGGCTCAAGCTCCGTCACTCCCTCCCGTCTCATGTTCTCATTCAAACAGATCCAAGCAGCCAGCCAGCAGCTCAGCAGAAAAAATAATAATGTCCAGTTCCCCTAAATTACAGAAGATGGAGGACATAAGATTTCCCCCTCCAAAAAACAGTGTATGCTATGTCTTCAGACACAATCTATATTAAGTTAGCTAACGTTACATTAGGAATATTCATTGTGAGATCATAGTGGAAAATCAGTATCACTTTGTAAGTTAGCTTGAAAATAGCAATGTTGAATTACTGTTATTTCAAATGAGTGCAGTTCGTCTATTGCTGTGCTTCTCCACTCAGTACATTCATCAAAGTAATATTATTTTTGGAAATCATTTAAATTGTATCTGTGACTCAGCAGGAACAGCTGCCCCAACAGGTAATAGGCAGAGAGCAGGACTTCATGCCTATGAAGTGAGTTATCACTTTCATTGATTTTGCTGAAGGGGACATATCAGAATTATGAAAAAAACATGGTTGTGTTTTGTTGCACTTGGGGTAGGGGTATCTGAAAAACTTCCCTTCATCCCCAATGGGACATAAGGCTGCCATGAGATCTGTACATCACATTTTGTCCTCAGCAACATGCTGTGACTGTCCCCATGACAGGTGTGTTGTGTCCAGCAGACACACCAGCTAACAGGGTCTATAGCAAATCATATTCCAGTTATATAGGAGACCAAAAGCTACTGACATCGGGCGAGAGGCAGGGTACACCCTGGACAGGTCGCCAGACTATCGCAGGGCTGACACATAGAGACAAACAACCATTCACGCTCACATTCTCACCTATGGACAATTTAGAGTTATCAATTAACCTAGTCCCCAATCTGCATTTCTTTGGACTGTGGGAGGAAGCCGGAGTGCCCAGAGAGAACCCACGCTGACACGGGGAGAACATGCAAACTCCGCACCGCCCGGGATCAAACCGGCAACCCTCTTGCTGTGAGGCAAGAGTGCTAACCACCACACCACCGTGCCACCCTAAAACATAAGACTATTTGGCAAAATTAAAAAACATGCACAAACAAATTACATTTTTAAAATGGGTCAAATATTTTTGGAATTATGTTTAAAAAGACAGATGGTCAGTTTACCCCCAGATGGCTCAACTTACTAGGGGTGGGAGAAAGAATCGATACAGCATAATATTGTGATATTTTTGTGTGGTAATATTGTATCGCCACACAGTGCTAACTATTGTGTTTTTATTATATGAATTATTATAAATTACAATTAATTATTATAAATACAAATTATAAATTACAATTAATTATTATAAATACAAATTATAATAATATTATAATCTATAGCTTTTTCAGTCCACTAGATATATTTTGCTGCTACAAAAGAAAGAAAGAAAGAAAAATGGCTGAATTGAATTGAACAGACTGAAAACTTAACTGAGTCAGATTAACGTACCCCCTCAGTAATAGTAGCCATCCTGAAATAAGGATAGGTGTTTTCATAGTACTTCTGTTTTATTTTTACTTGCTTGGAGGACAACATGAGTAAAAATGGCCACTTTAAACCCCTCTCGCCAATGTACAGTGACGCCTGAGATGATATGTTGACTTTCCAACCACATGCTATTACATTAAAATGTACATGAATAGGCTATAGGTAGACCCACAGTTACTTAAGGTGTTTTTTATGTTGCTGGAATGTAAATATTCCGGTTACTTAGCTATTAAAACAATTTCACGATATCTGTTTTTTTTTTCAATCATTTCACATGAAAGGGGTTGATAAATGTTCATGTCAGTTCAAGGATTTATTTTAGCGGTTTCTCATGAAAAGACCCAAACTAATAAGAATTGATCCTGCTATCAAGTATTGTGTGTGTATCCAAAACCTAATTTCCCTGTGC